AGAATGGAAGAGAGGGACAAAACTGCAAGAGACAGACAAAAAGCAATTAACAGAATGTGTGTGTGTGTGTATTAATCTCTGGATATTAAATAATATCTGGAAAGGAAATTTAAAAAATCCTATTCACAATAAAAACAAGAATAAAATACTTAGGAATAAACTTAACCAAAGAGGTGAAAGATTAGTACCCTCAAAATTTTAAGACATTGACAAAGGAAATTAAGACACAGATGAGCAAAAAGATACCCTGGGTCAGCTGGGTAGTTCAGTTGGTTAAGCCTCCGACTCTTGATTTCAGCTCAGGTCATGATCTCAGGATCATGAGTTCGAGCCCTGTGTTGAGCTCTGTGCTGAGCATGGAGCCTGCTTAGAATTCTCTCCCTCTCCCTCTGCCCCTCCACCCCCTGTGTACATGCTCTCTCTCTCTCAAAATAAATAAAATATTTTTAGAAAGAAATCCTGGTGTGCCTGGGTGGCTAGTGGTTAAGCATCTGCCTTCAGCTCAGGTCATGATCTCAGGGTCCTGGGATCAAGCCTCATGTTGGGCACCCTGCTCAACCAGGAACCTGCTTCTCCCTCTTCTTCTGCCCCTCTCCTGCCCCTCCCCACTGCTTGTGCTCTCTTTCTCTCTCTCTTTTCACTGTTTCTCTCTCAGAAAAATAAAATCTTAAAAAGATAACCCATGTTCATGGATTAGAAGAAGAATTAATACTGTTAAAATGGGCATAGCACCTAAAGTGATATACAGATTCAACGCAATCCCTATCAAAATCCCTATGTCATTTTTTACAAGAATAGAAAAAGCAGTCCTAAAATTCATAGTTTAGACCCCATATAGCCAAAGCAGTTTTTGGAAAGAAGAACAAAGCTGAAGACATCACATTTTTTTATTTCAAAATATATTTTAGATTTATAATAAAACTGTGGTACTGGCACTGAAACGGACACATAGACCATTGGAAGAGAATAGTGGGCCCCCAAGTAAATCCATGCATCTACAAGTCAACTGATAACTTTGACAAGCTTACCAAGAACACACAATCAGAACAGGAGAGTCTCTTTGATAAACAAGTGTTGGGAAAACTGAATATCCACATACATAGGAATGAGATTAGACTCCTTTTTTACCATTTACAAAAATCAATTCAAAATAAATTCAAGATTTAAGTCTTAAGACCTGAAATTGTAAAACTACTAGAAGAAAACAGGGAAATAACTTTTTGACATTACTTTGGGCAATGATATTTTTGGCTATGATACCAAAATCAAAGGCAATAAAAGCAAAAATAGAAAAATGGATTGAATCAAACTAAAAAGAATCTGCACAGCAAACATTCAATAGAGTAAAATGATAACCTACAGAATGGAAAAAAATATTTGTAACATCTGTCTGATAATGAATTAATACTCAGAATCTATAAGAGACTCATACAACTCAATAACAAAAAACTAACTCAATTTAAAAATGGGCAAAGGACCTAAATAGACATTTCTCCAGAAAAGACATAGAAATGACCAATGGGTATATGAAAAGATGCTCAACCTCACTAATCATCAGGGAAATGCAAATCATAGTCACAGTGAAATATTTTCTTAGAAGTCTATTATCAGATAGATGGTAGAGGACAACTGTTGATGGGGCTGTAGAAAGAAGGGAACCCTCATGCACTTTTGATAGGACTATAGACTGGCACAGCCACTTTGGAAAACAGAAGCTTCCTCAAAATATTAAAAATAGAACTATCTTACATTTAAGCAGTCCCACTTCCAGGTATTTATCCAAAGGAAATGAAGTCAGAATCTCAAAAAGATATCTGCACTCCTTATGTTAACTTCAGCATTATTTACAATAGCCAAAAGGTGGAAGCAACCTCATGGATGGATGGATAAATGGATAAAGAAAATGTGATATGTGAAGACCCTGTGTTTATAGCCACACATGCACACAATAGAGTATTATTCCACCTTAAAAAAGGAAATCCTGCCATTTGAAACAACACAGATGAACCTTGAGGAAATTAGGCTAAGTGAAATAAGCCAGATGCAGAAAAACAAATAGTACATGATCTCACTTATATGTGGAATCTAAAATAGTCAAACTCATAGAATCAGAGAGTAGAATGGTTGTTACCAGTTTGGGTCTGGAGAAAGGGGTAAGTGAGATGCTGGTCAAAAAGTACAAAGTTTCAGTTATGCAAGATGAATAAATTATGGAGATCTAATATAGAGCAACATGACTGTACTTAATACTGTATTGTATACTTGAAGTGTTCTAAGAGGGTGCATCTCAAGTGTTCTCATCAAACAAAAGAGGTAACTGTGAGGTGTTAGATATGTTAATTAGCTTGAATGTGGTAATTACTTTGTATATGTCTATCAAATCATCACATTGTACACTTTAGATGTATACAGTTTTTAATTGCTAATTATACCTCAGTAAAGCTTTGGGGGATTGAATTAGAATTTTTGTGGCCAACTTCTTACATAATTCCTATTGAAAATCTAAAGAGAAATTATCTACCTAGCAATTTAAGGGTAGATACCACAGGAAAGTTCTTAAAATTAGCTGTGATAAATATGTTACTGCCACTTTCGTAATAATTTTCCTGTATTATATCTTTCTGTAGAATTATTACCTTAATGAGAGATGTTCAGTTGTTAATGAGAGACTTGTATCATAGATAGAAGTTACAAGTAGAATCTATCTCATATAGAATGATTTAATTTTTAGATTAGCTTATTAGTGTTAACATTGGTTAGAATTTTAATTAAAGTTAAATGGTAAATATCACATAATTTTACCTTAAATTGCCGCTGATTTCACACTAGGAAGTAACAGTAATTGTTGAGTAAGATGAACCTATTTTTAAGCTTGGCCAATGAGAAAAACATCCTCATTTTTCATATTAACCTCATTTAGACAACTTTTGTGTAGGTCTTGAAGTTAACTCTAGGTACGTTTTCCTTGTTCTCAGTGAGTAAATAGGATTCTTTGTAAGAAAGTAGAGTCAACTCTTAAGCATAAATGGAATTCATTAGATTGATAAAAACAACTCAAGGAAGGGAAAGAAAGACGGGAAAAGGAGGCTTGGAGAGAGGTAGGCCGAGCTACTTCAGAGGATTAGCATGTAGGAACTTCAGGTCTGTCTCTTTGCTGGTACATTTTGGTCAGGGCCTACTGCTGGAATGAATAAACTGCTTTGTCTCTGCATTATCTAAATAGACAGAGTCAAGATTCAGAATTCAGGGGTGGGGTTTTCAATGTGCCTTAATCCACTTGCCTGCCCCTTAGTCTACTAGAGTGATGAGAGAAAGGGCCTTACACAAGGCTTCTCCAGGAACCCTTCCCTTTCATAGTGGCAAGGCAAGAGCCAGCATTGTCCGTCTCCACATTCGTCACAGAGCGTGGAAAGCAGATGCAGCACAGATGACACAGTATACTGCAGTTTCTATCTCCCGTTTCAAAGGACTGGGCAGCTGCCCATCAGAAACAATGTAATTGGGATTTCTAAACACAGAAGTCTAAAGACAATACGATAAGTTGTCATTAGGCAAAAATTTTCCATGGACAAGTAGTATGTAAAAACTGTGAAACTTAGTTCCTTTTTTCATTTTATGCAGTGTAAAACTTTTCACATTCCAGAATATATTCTAAATGGGAGGTTGTTCAATTACTTACATTAACTGAATTTTTCCAATGTCATTTCCTCACAGATGCACATTTGCCTTTCTTGCATTGTGCTCTGAATATTTTCTGTAAACCTGTGATGATATTGAAGTTGAATTTTCCAGTGACATGCACTGGAGACCCTAGAGAGAGTGACTATGTGAAAGAGAAGTCTAATAAGAGAAGCCAAAATAATGGTGACTTATTTTAATAGGTTCTCTGGCCAGTATTACCCATTTCTGCTTAACGTGATTTTTCTGTCAGTCTTGAAGTTTTTCTGAACTCTTTACTGTTTTCATAAAAACCCATGTTAAAGTACCTTAAAAGTCCTTTTTAAAATTTTCATTCTTTTTCCAGTGAAATGAAATTGTTACAGATAGCCTACAAGAATATCTTAATGTAATACCTTCTCACAGACTTCTGCCTGTTTCACTTTTTTAGTATTCCATCCTGAGATAGAATCTAGTCTTTGCATCAAATAATGTTTCTTTGTGGACATAGATGGTGCAAATATTTTTAAACATACACAGATATCCTGTAAAATCAGAAATATTCATAGGTAGCCTGTTCGAGACATTTAAATGGGGTTTTTCCATTTGAATCATGGTTCAATGATTCACTGGTTTCACTGTCTTGTGACAGTGATTAATTGGTTTGTGAGGTTTAAATTTAGGCCAAAAGTTAGCTCTTTTGCAAGTGGTTATTAATGAGTTAACAGTTCTATAAAAACGAAAGTAAACCGTCAGCTGTTACAATGGCTTCATTCTGTAGATGAAAGATTTCCAGTGGGTTATATTGTTCAGTCCAGTTATCATTGATTTAATTATTTTCATAAAGGTTTATTGGTAGTCACTTCTCTTAAAAAATTACAGAAACCTTATGGATTTTTTTATTTAGTATTTTTCTGCATTTAGTTTTATTTTTTAATTCATTTTAATTTTTTGTTTACTGAGTTAAGAGTGTGGATGTTGATGCTAGAAAATCATATACATGGAATCATTTTAACTGGAACCTGATTATCTATAACTAAGATATCAAAATTTTTTGGGTAAGGTGTAAAATCAGCTTTAGTCTTTTAGTAATATCTCTGTGGAAAAGATAGAAAGTCTGAATTTCACACATAGTGACTTGTTGTAGCCTTTAGAGAAAGAATGAAAAACACATGTTGTAGGAGACATTAATAGCCCCAGCCAGCCTTCCTATAGCTCTGTTGACAATCTGTTAGCATACCATTTTAAAAAGATAAATTTAGGGGGCCTGATTGATACCATTAGGTTCCTCTGCCATTGCAGAACAGTGAAGACAAAAGCACTCACCATCTTAATATTCACAGGACTGTGCTAAAGAATAATGATTTAAGATCAAGACAAGAGTTAACTGCCCACCTCACCAACCAGTGGCCTTCCCCAGGAGCTCTGGATGTCAATGCTGTTGCCTTGGATACGTTGCTTTACCGAAAACACAATAAACAGTGGTATGAGTAAGTGTAATACTTTTTTTCCAACTAATTACAAATTTAGTTGTACCAAAACATATGGTTATCCACTTTGGTTTCTCACTTATTCTTCTTTCTGAAATCATTATTAGGGCAAAAGTAGAATTTAAGACTACTTTGGCTTGATAAAGTCAGATTAAGGTAGTGAATATGTTAACGTTTGAAGCCAAGGCACCCTGGGGAAGTAAAATATCTAAGAAATTCTTATGAAGTATTGTACCAGCTACCTGCTTCTCCCTTAAGTCTTCAGCCAGTCCTTCAGTTAAGTCCATGAGCTCGTATTTAATGAGCCATCTATTTTTGAATTTTAGCTTCGGTATTTGTATTTGCCTTAGGATTAGTTTTCCTGCTAGTTAGAAAACACAAAATTCCATCTCATGAAAGAATGAAAGGATCTTTGTTCTTGGTGGGTCAGAGGGAGTTTTGTTTATTTTCAAGAAATTAATTTTTGGAGGCTATAGAAGATATAATCACCCCACCGGTGGGCCATGAGATTCTTTTTGTATTTCTTTGTCCCACTGTTTAGGACTATTTCATTAAGTCATAGTGTCAAAATGTTGAGAGAGCTGCAAAGTCTTAGGCTACATTTCCTTTGGAGTATCTTCATTTTGAAACTTATAAATTGTATTACCTTCTTTTGGCTTTTAGCTGATCTTCCCATCTTGATAACTTTTTCAATATCTTTATTTTCCTATCTTAAGCTAGTTTTCTAATTATCTCCTTCTGTCCCTCCACCCCCTTCTGTTCTCTCCCTCTCCTCCCTCTTCCCCCTCCCTTTTTCTCTTTCTCCCTTCTCCCCTCCCTCCTTTTTTTTTTTTATTTTTATTTCTTCTCCACTCTTCTTTTAGAGCCCTTATTTTTAAACTTCACTGGTAGAGCTACACACTTCCATTTGTGCTTCTTAGGGTGCTTTTCCCTAGGTAGTTAGTAGCCAGACATTTGTACAGGGATTGTTTTAGCATAGACATAATTTCTACCTGCTTTACTGTGTGATTTTTTTTTTCATTTATCAAAGGGAGTACTCAAAATAAGTTTGACCTTCTGTTGCTAAAAAATGCTTTTTTTTGTTTGTGTCACTGATTGCTAGAGATAGGCAGGGAAAGTGAGCAGACTGTAGAATAAATCAGTAGAACTCTCTTCAGCATCTACTAAACCATGCTGCCTAGTATGATTCAGGGTGTTGACTGAGTCTTTCACGGATTGGATCTAGTTCCCTTATATACCCTCTGAGACTTATAAATAACTAAAGTATATCTTCTTACGTTGGTCTATTTTATTTTTCTATGACATATATAAGTAATAAAAGAATAGTAGTTTATTCCTATTTCTGATATATGATTGAAAAATGGAATCTGTCGCGATAATTGGTCCACTTATCTCTCTATAACACATGAGATGCCCCTGCTTTTATAACTGCAAAAATACTATAACATTAACTTCTGACAAAAGACAATAGTATGCTTTTTGTTGCAATATCCACATTGTCACTTTAGATAGTAGGAGGTAAAATATTTTAGCTAAAAGACCTGTATGTAGCCCTGCCTGTAGAGCTATGTCTTGAGGAACCAGTGAGTCTAAGTGGAAGAGTTATTTCGAGTTTACCTTTGCATGTGGTGGTAACAATGACTGGCTTTTACAAAGTATTCTAGCAGCAGCAAAAGTAATTGCAGTGTCAGAAAAGAAAGTAGTAAAACTGCCTGTTGGTCTGTTTAGCATGGATCCAGACTTTATACTCCTTGACTCAGCTACACCATTAGCTGAAGAAGGGGTCCCCTTGCCTTCTCAGCATCCTCCTTTCATCTGGCTTTACCATCGATGTTGGTGCTGCTTTTAGATGGCCCTGTTGCCGAATGGCTATATTCCTGAACAAAATGTATGCAGCTAGGGTGTAGTATGGAGATCCCTGGACCCAGAGTTTAGGGTCAGGACTTGAGAGTAATCTCTGCTACCCTACTTGCTGTGTAACAACACTAAGCAACACCTCTTAACTTCTGTACGTGTAATACTGGGGGTAATGCCTATTCAAGTCAGTAATAAATTGCGTGGCACCTACTACTTCTCAGGGGATCTTTATTTATATTCTATGTAGTCTCTTTTGTTTATGTTCTTAAATAACTTTTTATCTTCCATGTTTGGAGAATATACATACACTCACCCGCCGTCCTAAACTCTACTTTGTTAGAGAGTTTGTAAAATTTATGTAAGATTAAAATGACCAGCAGATCCCCAGTTGTTCTGAAAAAATAATCCCAACTTTTTAATGTAAAAATGGAGACTTTGGATTTCCAGAATAGAGTAGTGCTGTATAAATCATGTTTGAAACAAATCATAGCTTTTCTCAGGATCTAGTTTTGCTCCCCCCACAAATCTGTAATATAATCCAAAACTCTTGAACTAACCTCATCATTGATTCCTCTTAATTTGACCAGTATCTTCAGCAAGTTTAACAAACATTTTTCAAGAACCTATAAATTATGGAAGAGGTGGCTACAATCCCTAAATAAGGAATATTAGTGTTCCTGATAATTTGGAGAAAGAAACTAGCCCTATAATTAGTTATCATATGATATTATAATTTCGTGCTAAGAACATGGGATATCTGTATTTCCCTAGGAGCTCTGTCAAGTTAGCTTTGAAAAGAATGATAATGTGCTGTTTGATTTAATTTCTTGGTCTAGCTGACATTTCTTAAAATGAGTGATGGGGTAACTTGGCTGTGTTGTCACCTACTCATAGAAGAATCCTTTTCACAGTAGAAGATCTTAAATTTATTTTCATTTACTGTACTGCTTATAAAACTTTAAAAATATCACTTCCAGTTTTTTCTTGATTATTTAGACCTGGAAAGGTCTAATTAATTATGCTGGATTTTATATCTTTTCCTTTATCTCAAACATAGGAATATCATGTTAAAATTTTTTAAAGCATTACAGGCTGACTGTAAAAACTCAACAATAAATAAGTATATAAAACATACACATAGAGCAATTGGTTACTTTTTTGTTTCCAGTAAGTTCTGTTTAGTGTTTTTTATATGTAAAGCCTAGGCCACATGGATACTGGTTATATAAATTTATTAGAGTATATGTTATATAATCTTGTTAGATTATTGCCTAACCCACTCATTTCCATCTTAAAAGATCAGATTCATTGTCATCATATTTTTATTTTCTACTTAAGCTTTCTTAATATTCTGAATTTATCATTGCTTTTAACTATCATCCACAAAATTACTGAGAATTACGAGCTTTTATATGCCCTTCAAGTTCTATGTAGACTAATTTTTTTGATGACTTATGAGTGGATATAATTACTTCAGGTGTGTATAGGTTCTCTTTCCCATGTGCGTTTTTCCAGTATTTTTGGAGCAGAACTGCCTGAAGCAATGAGGCTTCAAAAATCTTTTACAGCTTGTAAGGTTTGCATTGACCTCACTCACAATATCCCTTCCCTTTCAGGCTCCCTTGCATCCTTCCATTAATTTTAGTAGATTAAGAGGATATAGATGTTCTGATAAAGGAAATGCTTATTTTGTTCATTAAACACATTTCTATGAAAATCAGACCAAGAATAAAAAGAATAGCCCATCTCTGGTTCCATGCACATTCATGTGCCTCTATGTCTACAGTGTGCATATTTGTGTTTTTATTTTCTTCATGTGGATAATGTCTCCTGAGCCTAACACTCTTTTTTGCCCAATGACTACGAGATAATATAAGTTATTATTGACCTCAGTACATGTAAATAGGTGATATCGATTATCCATATCTTGACTTCTGATCATTAATACAAAGTGTAGGATTGTAGAAAATTTACTAATAAGTAAATTCAGGCCTCTTGCTCAGTTTCTTTTAATTTGTCTTTATTTGGTATCTAGTTTCTTTGTATAGTAGCTTGTATTTGAGTGATTTAAAATTTTAAATAATTAGATATTGAATACAATGGGTTTTATTATGTCCCAGAGGCTTATGACACTTGATATGATTCCTATCTTACTGTCTGGGGTTCTTACTTTGATTAAGTAAGATATTGCTATTTAAAAAAATATGCTCCAGGAAATAGACTGTTGATTGGTTTGATGTGCCTGGTGGGTTACATTTGAATCTTACAGTATGATGTTAAGGAGTCTAGAATTCTAAAATAGGACTTAGCAGTGACCTCTTAAAGACAGATCCCATAGACAGTTTACTCCAGGACAACATGCTTGTCAGAGGGAGCTACCAGTTGTATTGGCAATCAGGTAAGAATGTGGAAAACCCATTTCTTCTCATTGTTGCAGACAGCTAAACTAGACTCCTCCCAGGTGGTGGGTCTGTAATCACCTTCATGCAAGGAAGATATTACATGGTACTCTTATGAGTATCTTTTGAATAAGGGGCCTCATTTTGGCTTGGATTTTTTATTATTGCTTCAGAATTCATTGTCTACCAAGTTCTGTTTCTATATTCATTGGCATTTGGTTAAGTAAAGCCTGGAAACTATAGGGTTATTCGCTAAATGTAACAAATTGAAGGGTAGATAGTTTCCACAATCACTTTCCATTTGTTAATGTGATATCTAAAAGGAACTTCAGTAGGTAATGCAGAAAACTCATTTTGTGTTGCTTTTGTCAGAGGCAGCTTTTATAGTCTTTCCTCCCCCCAACTAGTGACAGTCCTGGATTGCTGTAAATGTGTGCCGACAAGCTCGCAGTCCTTATAATTTTTAAATGAATTTTATGTCTTTTTTGCTTCTGGGTATTTTGTTTGTAAATATTTCTATAATTTTTAAAATTTAATAATATTAACTATCAAGTTTCTTACGATGAAAAAAATCAGTGTCAGAAACTCATTTAAAGCCAAAAGTTTAAAAACAAGCCTTCTACCTATTAGGCACAGAAAAATAATTTTGAAAGGAAATTTATAACTTCCTTCATTGAATTCCTGTGTTCCTGCTTTCTTCTATAGCTAAAGAAATAAAATTTTAATGAAAGTCAAGTGAAATTTTCAGTGATACAATTCAGTACAGTATAGTTTACATAGTCTCAGACACAAGACTGTTCTTTAATAAGGTTTTTAATAAAACAGAAAACTAAATGTTTTCTTTCTGTACTGGAGAAGGAGATAGCATGGAAATTAAGGGGACAGAATTAGAGCCAGGCTACCAGGGTCAAACCTAATCTCTTCTTTGTGCCCGTTTACTCTGCTATAAAATGGGAATAGTAGTAATTCTAACCTCTTAGGGTAGTTATGAGGATTAAATAAGTTAATATATATAAAATGTGCAGGGACAGGACTTAGCATGTGGTAAGCATTATATAAATACTGGGCATCCTTCTTTATTACATGTTGTATAGTTCATATATGTTTTATCTATTATAATAATTATCAGAAGTTTCCTATAATAGAATTTTCTGCTACTTAAAAATCTAAGAACTCTTATACTAGACATTTGAAAAGTCATCATGTTATAACGTGAGAACACTGCCTACATTGTAAACTAGTAAAGTTATTCCATCATCTCATCCTTCATTTCTTAGATGAAAAAAAACAAATAGATACTGTTGTATATATCCCCTCATACATAACATGTATGCTTTCAATAAATTCATAAGTTTACTCTGTATGAATAGAGAATAGCTTTGGAATAGACCATTTAAATTATATACACTTTCCTGTAATGTTATTATAGAATATATGATATTTCTAGGAAATTAGTTAGGGTTTGGTTACCTTGGGAAATAGATGTTAAACCTAAAAAGCGTATCCTTTCTTCTGGATTTCCATATTATTTGGAAATAATAATGAATCCCATTTTCTTCCTTGAAATGTCAATAACACCAAAGCTGCATACCTCTTTTGAGTTGTTTTTATCCTGACAAAACAAATACGAGTAAGGTTTAATAATAAACCTTATTAACTTTCCATTTATAACTGAATTTTCCTCTATTATAATCCATTTCTCACTAACTTGTTTAATGGAAATTGTGCTCACAGTAGCAAATACATGAGGGAAGGAGGTTAATTATCTTGATAGTGTATTAACAGAAGAAGCTATTTTATTATCCAACATTTTTAAACTTCTAAATTACAGGAATTTTGATAATAATTTGTAATTACTGTTATGTAAAAACCATCTGTAAAAATATCAAGACATTGAAGAATTTTGTAGTGCCTAGGAGATACGAGGTCATTATTAAGTTATGTCATTTTGGTTTCTGTATTAAGAATAATCTAGATTTTGTGCTCCTTTGAAATTTGGCAACAACCAGAAGGTCCCCATTTTCTCACTAGCTAAATAATCAAAAATTGGTGTAAGGATTTAAATTAGTTTGACAAATTGTTTCTCTTTTCCTTTTTTAATAGATTAAACACACAGACGTCCAGAGAGTGTGGAGGGAAAAGTATAATGGAGATCATATTGCAGACACAATAGAGACAGAGTTTAGGGGAAGAACTTGGGAGAAATAAACCAGAAATTCAATAAATTGAAGCAAATCGTTAAAGAATATCTCTAGAAATTCTGTTTTGTGAGAAGAAATCCAAGTAGTATTTCACCCTTGTTTTACAGAAAAAGTTATCAAAGTCTTGACCAGTTATCAGCTGAAGTTAGCCTTTCTCAGACTTCACTGGATCCAGGTCAGTCACAAGAAGGAGATGGGAAGCAAGACACATTAAATTTAATCAGTGAAGGTAAGAAAAACAAAATTTATCGGGAAATTACTTTTTCCTGCACTGTGTGTGCTGTGGATACAGAATGCTGAAGAACAGCGGTGACTTTCTGTTAATCATGCTGGGAATGGAGCTGCATTAGGATTCAAAAAGGTTTGCTTTTGGGTTTTTTGGTTTTTTTAACCCATGCCTTTTTGGCTTTCTGTGTCTCTCTCCCATACTAAAACAACTTTTATCAAGGTGTTCGACCACTGCTGACTTGCAGTTCAAGTCGGTTCTCGGTCTTCATTCTGTTAAACTTCTCAGCAGCTTTGGATACAGCTGACCACTTCCTCATTCTTGAGTCACTTTTGGTACCTCATTTATTGGGTATTCTGAAAACCTTGGGAACAAATATGAAAGAGTTTTAGTTTTTCCTGTTCCTGCTTTTGGCTGTGCTCTGTCCACCCGTCTTTCCCTTGTGTTGCATCTTCCTGAACAACATCTTGGTTCCATTCCAAAACTTTTCAGGCCATTTTCAGTGATCACATTTCATTTTCTAAGACTCAGCCTGTGCATTTTTAAACTCCAGTAACTTGGCTGATTCAGAGTCACTTTCCCTCCTGCCCCCAGCACAGGCTCGGGCCGTGACTCTAGCACTTTGGGTTGGATGAGTGAGTGGTGCCGGTATGATACGGCGCTCAGGTCCCTTATCTCTGCGTCCCAGTTCTACGCGGCTGTGTGTGAGGTGGGGGCTGGGGAAGAGTTCCCTACCGCAGGGGGACCTGCACTCCTCTGGGTCTCCGATTTCTCCCCTGTTCTCCGCTGCAGTAGATGGCACCACCACACGCATTGCTAGATTCTACTCTTCCCCTTTACAACTGCACGTCCGTTTGTCAGCGCTCCCTGCAACACATGCTGTCTACACTGATCGTCATCTTCACTCTTACAACCCTCGTCTAAGCCACGTGGAGCAAGCCTCGTGGATGGACTCCTGCCACAGCTCTTTCTTGGGTCTTTCCTCTCTCATTCTTGTCCCCTCGTAGTCCATTCTCTGTATAGTCATCAGTGATCTTAGAAGACATAAATGAGAAAATATTATACTCAGAATTCTCCAGTGGCTCTCAATGACAATCAGAATACAGTCCAGACTGCTTATCATGGCCTCCTGTATGATCGTGTCCTTGTCAGCTTCTGCCTCAACTTACACCGTTCTTTTGCTTGCTCCCTGCACCCCAGCAAACTGACCTCCTAGCTGTTCCTTCAGGTTGGTTCCTGCCTCAGTTATCTTTGCACTTGCTTCTCCTTAGTGCCCTGAAACTTCTTTCTTAAGGTCTTTGAATGGTAACCTCTATTGGAATATCTCTTTAAAGAAGTAAGTGTTCATTGACTGCCACACCTTCAGTAAACATCATCTCCACGTCCATGTCCGCCCCCCCCAGGCACCCTGTCACATCGCCCTCTGGTGTAGTATGATTCTGTCCCCAGCTCCCCACTGAAGTGTACGCTTCATGACGCTAAGGAACCTTACCCATATTTTCCACCAGTGTATTACCAGAGCCTGTGACATTATAGACAATTATTAAGTATTGGTTGATATTAGAATAAGTATATAATGAATGTCACAGAATGTGAGGAACAAGGTAGACACAGTATAAAGTAAAAATTCAGTTAACAAGCAGGCTTAGGCAATGGGAAATTATGTGAAGCTGAATTTTCTGCTTCTTTTAAAATAGTTGTTGGAAATGGTCTCAGAGGGCCTTAAATCTATTTTAATACTTTAGTAAATAGTGTATACTGACTAAAAATGAATCTTTTTTTGATGATGTGGATAATAAAGATAGCAAAATAGAGTATCCTAGCGGCATGAATGTAGGTGGAAGAGGGTAAACGGAATTCACTGTCATAATTTAGAATATGTATATTTTAAAAATTAATCCATTCTCTGGATTTATTTGTGATGACTCTTTATGTAAAAGAAACATTTAGGATTTAAATAAGTTTATCACTATAGGCATATTAATAGTAATAGGTCAAGATTGATAATGGGTAATTTTTATACTATAAAAACAAATATATAGAATAGTGATGAATGGGTGAAGCACAAAGAATTTTTAGGGCAGTGAAACTATTCTGTATGATCCTAAAATGGTGGACACATGTCATTATAAATTTGTCCAACCCATAGAATGTACAGCACCAAGAATGAACCCCAGTGTAAACTGTGAACCCTGGTTGATGATGATGTGATCATGTAGATTTATCAGTTGTAACCAGTGTACCACTCTGGTGGGCGATGTACATAATGAGGAGGCTCTGTACAGAGATACAGAAATCTTGGCACATTCTGTTCAATTTTGCTGTGAACCTAAAACTACTCTAAAAAATAAAGTGTGTGAATACACAGAGAGCGGGAGAGAAGAATTGGCTTTCAGAATTCAAGGTTAATTAACAGATTAAGTATTACTTACAGAATTTCCCTACCCCAAATAGCTAATAAAATGATCAGAAAAAGAAAATATATGCCAAAAAATGCATCAACTGAAATCCAGCAACAAAAAAGAGCTGTAATATATTTAGGATAGTGTAAAACTAAAGAAAATTTTTTTAAAGATTTATTTATTTATTTGGGAGCAGAGGGGCAGAGGCAGAGGGAGAGAGAGAATCTCAAGCAGACCGCCCTGAGTGCAGAGCCCAATGTGGGGCTCCATCTCATGACCCTGAGATCATGACCCTGAGCCAAAGTCGAGAGTCAAGACACTTAACTGACTGAGCCACCCAGGTGTCCCATTAAAGAAGCTTTTTCAAGACTTGAAGGACACCCATTGTTTCTACCCACAGCATCCTTCCCACCCTCCCATAGAAGCCATATGGTAAGGAAACCATACTTTGATACACTGATACAAGAGAGTGCCCTTGAGTTAAAAATTTCACAAACCAGCCAAATCAGCTAGCCCTCCTACGTATACAAAATTACTATTCTTTAAAAAAATCACTTAGGGGTGCCTGGGTGGCTCAGTCATTAAGCGTCTGCCTTCAGCTCAGGTCATGATCCCAGGGTCCTGGGATTGAGCCCCGCATCGGGCTCCCTGCTCAGCGGGAAGCCTGCTTCTCCCTCTCCTGCTTGTGTTCCCTCTCTCGCTGTCTCTCTCTCTCTCTCTGTCAAATAAGTAAATAAAATCTTTAAAAAAAATGATTTTTTGGCTGTTCAGGTTCCACTGAATTTCCATATGAATTTTAGAATCAACTTGTCATTTCTGAAAAAAGGCAGAATTTTGATGGGGATGACACTGAATCTGTAGATTAATTTGGGAACTATTGCCATCTTAACAATATTGTCTTCTAATCCGTGGAAAAATGGGATGTTTCCCCACTTATTTCAACCTTGATTTTTTTTCAAGAATAGTTTGTAGTTGTCAATGTACAACTCTTAAACTTCTTTATTTGAATTTATTCCTAAGTATTTTATTTTTTTAGATTCTATTGTTAATGAAATTGTTTTCTTAATTTCATGTTCTGGTCATTCATTGCTGCTTTTATTATTAGACTTTAAGCATAGGTTTAAAAAATTAATGTCACTCCTCTGTATCTATAAGAAGGAAAAGAAAAGTGAATTCAGTTGTAAAGAACTTCATATTCAGAGTCAGTATCTTCTGAATCATTTCATCAAAAGACATTGGCTGTGTCTGCTCATAGTATATCATTCTCTGTGCTGACAGCAAACCATTTCCTAAAACAATCCTCCGCTGATACAGGGATTTTCTCTCAAGTTACCAAGTGTCCTGCACATTTTTACGTGAGCACTTTCTACTCGCCTAACTTACAGTTTTTCTTTCTCAAATCAAATACTTCTAGAAGTTAAAAAGCTTCTCTTCAAAGGCCGCAGGAATTCCATGACAAATTGAGGTTTCACATCTTAACAGAAACCCTGCATAGTGCATGAATCAGTCACACCAATTGCTATTGCTTTAAAATTTCTTGTATCTAGTCTAAGGAATGTGTTCTGCCTCCATTTGTGCACTTGGCGCGTGATAGGCAGTCCTTTTGCGGATGTTGTCAAGCTTCATCTACTTGTAGGGTTTTTCCTAAGTGCTTTGTTTTACCAGAAGTGTGAATTGCAGTAATTCTTGTTATGGGTATTTGCTTCAGTGAAATTTACATTCTACTATCTGTTTTCATGCTTTTCTATGAACAACTATTAATTTTAAAGGAAAATTATAATTTTTGAAGGCATTTTAAGCAGTATATAAATATGAGTAACTCCATTGAAGAGATATCAATATGGACACCTGTGGCCCAGTTCATACATGGACACACCAAAACAACGGTCAGGGTACTGCCTCCTTGCCAGCTACGACTACCACACACAGTGATTCCAGGGGTTTGAAATTTTATTGCACAAAATGATGACCACCCCTTTTCTTGACCTTTGGTCACAAAAAGGTAACATGTTGCTTACATAACAGGTTAATAGAACATTTTCCCCATGTTTATAGGTTTACGCTAGTGGCTAAGGAATCTCTGTAGTCATTCCTTAAAATTCGGATACAATTTACTGCCTCTTCGCTTCCTCATTGACCCCTTCGTCCCCATTCAGACTTCCTTATAGGGTTGGCGATCTCACCTTTACTTATCGTTCTTACTGCACTTTATGATAATTTTCTGTTTGTGTCTGTTTCTACCTTACATTAAGTTCCCTATAGGCAAGAAGTAGTTCTTAAATTTTTATTTTTTATCATGATGTCTGGCATTGTGCCAAATGAATGATTTTTTTTTTTAAGATTTATTTATTTGAGAGAGCGAGAATGAGAGAGAGAGTACATGAAAGGGGGGGAGGGTTAGAGGGAGAAGCAGGCTCCTCACCGAGCAGGGAGCCCGATGTGGGACTCGATCCCAGGACTCCAGGATCATGACCTGAGCCGAAGGCAGTCGCTTAACCAACTGAGCCACCCAGGCGCCCTGAATGACTTCTAACTTAGTAACATTTGTAGCAGTGCCATCTGAAGAGTTGTAGAGTCCAGACTCTATGTCAATAAATTTAAAACAAAACGCATCTTTCTTGCTATAAAACGAAAATCTGGGGGCACCTGGGTGGCTCAGTCGGTTAAGCCAGTTGTTTTGTTAAATGTCCAAAGATTTAGATTTGTCTTACGTTATTATCATATTCAGGTTAAACATATTTGCAGTATGTAAATAATGCATCTTTGTCAGCACATCTTATCAGGAGGTCACTGTCTTTTTTGCATTGAGAGACCCTTAAAGATTACTCCTGTGTCCTTTTGACACTCTATTAGTCTGTGATAGCTTCTTTGCTTTGTGGTACAAAAGATGTTTTGGGTTACTTTGGTATATTTCACGCCCACACCCAGGATCAGCTATTTCTTCAAGTCTTACTTCCTTATACTGGCAAATGTTAGAGACCGTAGTTTAGGCTTACAGAGGTGCCTCTTGTTACTGGAATGGTCATTGTTTCTAGCCCGTGGAAGAGTTAGGAATTTTTTTTAAAGAAAAATATACTTTAAATTTATTTTACAATTCAAATTTAAGACTCAAGGTGTCTATGTACTTGATTTTATATTTTGATATCTTATGATGACACTACTGATTCCTCATTTATATGAACATAATTACTTATTTACTTTTTCCTATTATATTAATTTCAAAATAACAGTATATTACTAAAATACGATAACTCAAAATAGCTTAAGATTTCTCATTTTGAGAATATATGCCAGAGTCAAATTACTGTGCTTAAAGTTCATCTCAATTCTGTTTACTTCCACTATCATAGTTAACCAGTTTTTGTGTGTGTGTATGTTTTTAAGATTTTATTTATTTGACAGAGAGAGAGACATCAAGAGAGGGAACACAAGCAGGGGGAGTGGGAGAGGGAGAAGCAGGCTTCCCGCGGAGCAGGGAGCCCGATGCAGGGCTTGATCCCAGGACCCTGGGACCATGACCTGAGCCAAAGGCAGACGCTTAACTGACTGAGCCAACGAGGCGCCCCATAGTTAACCAGTTTTATTAGTTTTTGAATTATCTTATTTTTTAAATACAAGTAAATTTAAATAATTTATGTCCCCCTCTTCTAGATAAAAGGCAACAACATGCTATACCCTATTCTGCACTTTGTTTTCACTTGACAGTGAAATTTCCAGATATCCTGGAAATCAATACCTAGAGGTACATAGAGATCCTTCTGATCCCTTTTACAGCCCTGTAGTACCTCATTGTGTAACTATGTTAGACATTTAGATTGTTTCGTCTTGTGCATTACTGTATGGTAATCTTTATATTAAAAAATGTTCTCCAAGTATATATTCCCAAAGAATTGCAAACAAGACTCAAACGGATACTTGTGTGTGTTTGCAGCAGCATTATTTACAGTACTAAGGTAGACACAACCCAAGTGTCCACACAGATGAATGGATAAACAGAAAGTAATGTATACACACAGTGGGATACTATTCAGCCATAAAAAAGGAATGAAGTTCTGATACATACTACATGGATGAAACTTAGAAAACATGCTAAGGGAAATAAAGCCAGACACAAAAGGGCACAAATATTACACGATTCCACTTGTAAGAACGATGTGTGGTAGGCAGGTTCATTGACAGAAAGTAGATTAGTTTCCAGAGACTGGGGGTAAGGGGACAATAGTTATTGCTTAAATTGGTAGAAAATTTGGGGTGATGACAATTTTTGGAAATAGTGGTGATGGTTGCACAATACTGTGGATGTAATTAATGCCACTGAATTGTACACTTAAAGTAGAAATTTGGAAGGATTATCTAAAGCACTTGAGTTCCAGGAGCATTTAACAAGAACTCCAGAAAGTTAATTCTGGCCTGAAATGTCTCTAAGCCTAAACATTAAAAGGGTCCTTGAAACATCTAAATGTTTTGACCCCGAGATAACATGATAAACATTTTAAATTGGAATTTAACAATTCCTCTTCCATATCTTTTTCTAACGTTGTTGTATTTTCCTGTATTGTATTTGTCACCAAAACTATGAAGTTAACATAGCTAGTCATCTTTAGTATTTTACAAAGGAAAGGACAGGCTTAGAGAAGATGCCTTTCCTAAGGTCATACAGCTAAAAGGGACATAGGAGCTCTCTTGGGTCCCAGTACAGTTCTTACTGAATCATGACTCGGTAATTACATCATTATTTAATGAGCATCTCCTGTGTGCTAGGCACTGGGAATGTAACAACACAACAGATTCCATGTCCTTTCTCAGTGTATAGAAGAAAAGAGAGCCTGGCAATTATCATACAGTGTAACTAGGTGGGTTGTTAGAGTTCAAAGGACTATGGGAACACTTCAGAGGGGCCATTTGAAACAATAGATAGCATTCAGAAACACCTGCTATCTGGTTCACTTTATACTTCAGTAACTGTGTAAGTAAAACTTAAGCTTTTTATCTACTTTGGGAACCTACTAATTTGCAAAGACCTCAGCCATTCACAGCCTCAAACCAGCCACTTCTAGCTGGTATTTGCAAACTTAACCAGCTCTGGAAAGAACTCATGTTTCCCAGCTGTGAAAACAGATCTGCCAGTCTTCCTTCATGGGCGAACCGAAGTCCAGGACATGACAAAGTTCCTGATGCAAGGTAGCTGCCGAGTAAATGTTCAGTAAGTGAGTCGAAGCTCTCCCAGTGCAGCTCCTCCTGAACTGAACCAGTTTTGCTTCTGCTGCATTACTTAACCTGCATAGGATTTCCTGGTATTTCTGTGGCCTGGGCATTGGTACTGTTAGTTTATTATCCTTTACTAACTGAACATGAACATATTCTGGAAAAAAATAAGTTTTACTTTTGTCCTAAAACACGGCATCTCAAACTTCCGTATCTAGAACTGTTACGAGGAGCACACATACTCCTCTGGTAATGTTTTTTGAAGGGTGACACTGAAGCTACGGAAATACATAATTAGGTATGTTCACGGTATTTTGTGACATTATGTAAGTTTTTAGTTTTATAGGATCTTTTGGTATCATTCTTCAAGGGCAATTACATATTTGTTATTTTATCTTAACTTTCAGGTAAAGAAGACACTCCCTCATTACTCGGTCTCTGTGGATCTCTAACATCAGTGGCAAGTTACAAATCTCTAACAAGTCTCAAATCTAATGACTACCTTGCAAGTCCCACAACAGAGATAACGAGTCCAGGCTTAACTCCATCCTGAAAAATTTTATGTCAAAGCCAGAAGTTTTTATGTTGCAAATGTTCTATTTACATAAGTTTGACTGCTGGGAAAACCTTTGGAATTTTATATTGTTCTGGCACATGTCTGGAATTCTTTTGCTTCTATTAGAGAATTCAGTGCACTCCACGTGCCCTTCTGAGTGAAAATGATCCTGCCATTTTAAGATTCTTATATTTGTCACTGAGGAAGATTAAAAATGGATAGGCTTAAAAAACTTTCAAATATCCTCTAAATTAATAATCCATTGCAAATTGTGATGTATATTTTTCAGCTGATTTTCATATATTTAAATGTACCATAATCGCCAGAGACTGAGTTCAAGGTTTTATTTCAGAGACATAAACTAAGTATTTTCTTTTACTCTTTTATTCAAAGATTACATTTTCTAAAAATGACTTGTTAATTTCATCTTTCATTCATTTCTTCCTAGGTTCTGGTGTTTAAATGCCTTGTTTTTCATATGAGGAGGTTCTCAGCTGGTTTCATAGTGGCTTACTCAGTTTTTTAAGTATTCATTTGGTACAACATTCCATTAACATTTTATAAATTTTGTAGGAATGTGTCTTTAGGCCATTACTAAATTTGTCAGGGTCATAGGGAAAGTATTTTACACCATTTTGGTAAAATGAATAAATCGTTTTCTCAAGATTCTCTTAAAGGGTTATTTAAAAATATCAAATATTCCTCAGTAGTTGGAAACATTTAAAAACGTAGAACAGATGTTGGAAAGTATTTTATTAGGAAAGATTCCGAGTTCATTTAAGGATTTGAGAACCTTCAAGTAAGGATCAGTAGAGTCTCACCATACTCAACAGTACGTCTGACATAAGAGTGCTGTTTTGTTCTCCCTTGTGTGCAGCAATGAATCATGCCATGTTAATGTTAAAAACTGATGTTAATGTTCGAAATCCCTGCACATCTACAGGTAAAAAAAAATTAGTTTTCTTTTTAAAAAAGTTATGCGCTATAAAATCTTTTTGCAGTTTTTGGAACTATATATTTCATCCATCAAAATCCCACCATATTGAAAGAGAAAACGTATGAAGTGTATTTTCTAATAAGTGCTATGAGGAAAATATCAGTTGTGCCAAAGAAGTTTTATACATTGTTTACATGAAGAGGACACAATATTTAATGGGGACTTCATACGCTATTTTTGTTTATTAATAAAACATTACATTCAAACTCAGTAGCTTAGACACGTAGGAACAGTGTTTCCCCTACAATTTATTTTATTCAGAGGAGGCAAGCACGCTGAACTTACTACATCATTCTTTGTATTAGAAATGTAGGAGTGTGGTGGTTCTCTGCAATATTTAGAGCTTTATTCTCATAATTCGGGATTTAAGATAATAAATAATTCGGCCAGTCTTATATGCAAGACCGTTCAAAGTCATTTAAAGGACAAAGGGAGGCCTGGAAGCCATTAAAATAAGTTATTCTAGATGTACCAGAACATACTCAGAGCTTTATTCCTTTAGCTTAAGGCTTTAGTACTTGTTAAAATGCAAATATTCTTGAAAAATGATACCTTTAACAATTTACTGATACCTACTCTTAATTCTGTATACTTTCTTATGAGTGAGGTATCCAAAGCAATTTTTAATGAGCATGGGGATGGAAGGAAGATGCAAAGTGAGGACAGTGGAAACCTTGGGAGGAGGGAGTAGGAAGTGGCTAAGGAGGGGAACTTGAAAATTTTTAGGTTGGCCTTAAGCAATTGTTGCTTTCCTAAAAAACGATCAGAATGTTTAAAATGCTTTATCATTCATGGTCCACTCTCAACTGACATTTATTTCCTCAGTAATTAAAAAAAATCATTAAATTTTTTTCCATACATTTTATAATATAGGAAGGAAATTCAAGATTCCATAATTGATAACATTTTCCAGATTTGTCTAATGCATACAGTAACTTGTGCATCTTAACATACTGCTAAATGCAGATTTAAACATGACATCTGAGGATCATGACTTTTCCTCCTTTCTTGGAGCTCTTGGTATAAAATTCATCTGCTAATGTGAATTCAGGTTTCTATACATTTCATCTCACACTAGTTATACATGTAGCTAATGTTTGCATGAGGAAACAATGTATGTCTCAATCTTTAATTTTAGATGGTAGTGTTTACTGTTTACACACCCTACCCAAAACAGAATGCTGAATTATATGCTAATAATTCCATGTGCATTTTGTTGCCTTGATGTACTATATTTGTTGCATGTATATTAAACGTTTTGTACCATGCAGTAGTGCTTATATTTTTACCTTCAAGACAACTTACTGGATTCAGCTGTACACTGTACTTTTTGTTTTAGCAAATACGGTAAATGTATATTACTCAACACCTAAAATACTAATATGACAAAAGGTTTTGGACAAATCTTTATTTCAACTCAAATATCCTTTTATTTAAAAAAAATTACATGATCTGCTTTATAATACACAGTTATCGGTTGAAGTTGTACAATACAGTAGTGATTTTGGTAGTTGCTAACATAATTATATAAGAGCCATGTTTGTTTTCTCACCTATAAAATGGAAACATCATCTTCTCAGAACCTATGATGGCATCAAGATGATGTCAGCATTAAATGAAATTATATAAACTAAGTTATTTAAGTCGTATTTACTAGACTTACACACAGGTTTTCAAGTGGTTAAAAGTGTGTCTCAAATTGACAACTTAGGGAAATTCTTGGTCAATTCCCTCTGAAATGTCACACAACTGCTTTGAACATCAGGGCTCTTAAGTATTTTTTAATTGGTTCCCTTTGTTCTTCTGGAAGCAAAGCAGTTTTTCTTTTTTAAGCATTAGTTCTTTTTAACTGATAGGAAGGGGCAGATAAAAATCACATCAATGTTATTATGGTCCCTTTTCAAAGTCTATTCTGGTCCAAACCAGTCCTTACTATATAAGTCCCCATTTTCTATAGTGCTGATGATTTCTCTAAAACCCAACTGAAGCTAAAGTTTCACTACATAAGACTCAGCCTTACTACATGTGACACATTCTGGTGTGTGCTGTGCTGTGCTAAACTATGCTACCCTCTTTTCTTTTCAGTTAAAATAATTGCTGGTCTTGGGGGGGCGGGAAACCAAACCCAACTCTGTAATTCTTAGACCTGTGCCAAAAATACTTGCTTGGTTTCCAGTTGCCTTCCTGTTTTTCCTTCCTTGGGACTAACTTCCGTTGCCTGACTGAGACTGCCCGGTCCAGGTACGTTTAATTGTCTTCATCTTAGGAGCATTTCCTGACAGTCCCCGCAAGCTCAGTGGAGAATCCCTCAGCACTCCCTCTGCAGCCCTGTCAATCACAGCTCAGCCAGCTTTGTAGCCAAGTGAGTATCTGAAGCACTTCCTATCTCCAGTGCTTCTTAAACTTGAGGCGGCCACGGAAAAGATCGGAGATGTCAAATGATAGGTTAAAATTTATTTAAAAAGTTTGTTTTGGAAAAAAAATTAAAACCTGATATACTAAACTTTCCCATATCCCTGGAATTCATGCTCCAGAAAGAGGGAAGAATTTATTTATTTTTAAAGATTTTATTTATTTGAGAGACAGAGAGAAAGCACAAGAGATGGGGGGAGGGTCAGAGGGAGAAGCAGACTCCCCGCTGAGCAGGAAGCCCGATTGCGGGACTCAATCCCAGGACTCCAGGATCATGACCTGAGCTGAAGGCAGTCGCTTAACCAACTGAGCCACCCAGGTGCCCAAGAGGTAAGAATTTAAAGGAGTCTAAGCATAGTGAATAGTTTCCTAGAAATAAAAGAAAAATTTATTTTAACTTCATATCTGCTTGTTCAAAAAGTCAAATGTGTATTATATGGAAGGTGGCAAAGATGTAAAACTTGAATTTCTTTTTTAAAAATGTACACACACATAAGGAAGTACACGTATTTGTTAGAAAATTTCACGTAGATCGAAACTATTAGCTTTCAGAAACATGACCAAGATTATAATTTCTAGCCAAGTGCTTTTCAGTTGCTACTATTTTTTTTTGTTTAAATAAAGCATTAATGCTTCTTTACCACTTAAGTATAAAGAAAGCTTCAATTCACCCTTTTCATGCAGATACATGGCTGTAATATGTACTAGAAAAGCTACTAGGGAATTAGATTTATTTTAGGCATAAATGCTAAGAATTTTCCATAAGTGCAGTCTGTTTTGGGGGTGGGAGGGCGATGGGGATTTCCCTACTGGTATTTCTATTAAGTTGAAATATGTGACTGCTTCTTAATAATTATAAATTTAAATTTTTCTCTTTTCTACCAGTTACCAAAAAGCATAACAGAACAAAGGTAAATTTAAATTTAATACCGTTAAACAGCAGTGTTTATAAAATACAGCATTAACATAATGATTTTATATGAAAATAGCTTGAAGCACAGTGATAATTTTAAGCATAAAATACTTTAATGGAAATGTAAGTTAAAGCCATAAACATTTATGATTTTATAGATATGTATGTTAAAAATTTAAGGGAAATCAACACAGGATAAAGTAAACACAAGATTACATACTAACCCTATATAGTTTATTTCTGACGAAACATATGAACTTTTCTCCTAAAATACAAAATACATAATTCCTCTACCAACACTAGAGATCTATCACCTAACTATATATTACTCTATTTTAGGAAAAAAAACCAAAACTTCACATTGTCATAGCATACACATAGACTGCAATAAAGTGCTTTTTCTTATAGGATATAGATCCTGAGAAAATAAATCAAAAACAAAAATAACATTTCTGTCCCTCCATCATAGTCCTGTTTCATTCCTACAGCCATGAGCTACATTACTGAGCCATTAGCCTGTAGTGACTAAAAGCTGTTTGTTCAAGGAAACAGTGGCCTCTTTAGTCTCTTGATGTAGCATACTAACATGAGATGTGTAAAATCAAGGGACACTGTGGAAGTACTTGTGGCTTATACTGTGTTAATTTCAGTGTTGTTAAGACAACAATACGTGTGACCTCGAGAGCTCCACAAACAGTGATACCTGGATTCCAAGACAGCTGAAACCAGGGCCCTTCCCAGGCTGAAACGTTCTTTTTACCACTCTAAATATAATGTGGTTTTCCAGTGCACACCCAAGATTCACTGTGCCAAACATTTAACACAATCAGTAAAGACTCCTTCTCTCTTGTAGAAACAGTAGATAATAGTCTTTAGTCACCAAAAATATCTTTATCACATAAACAGTTATATTCTGGTTCATAAAGATAAAACAGCCATACCTTTAGGCAGAGAAATCCTAATACTGGTGAAGCCTTATCACAGCAACAGGAGGTGTAAAATAAAAAAACTAATGCATTTGAATTAAAAAAAATCTAATAGGTAATTAGGTAAATGCGAATAATGTTATTTAAAGACTGCCATCTATTATCTATTTTGTTGGAATACTTAAATATCTATGTGCATGATTTAAGTGTGAGTTAGAGACAGGAATTTTTCTTCTAGACTCTGCACATCATTCAGCACACAATTCAAAATGTTCTGATATATCTGACACATTCCCAATGACGTTATACCGAAATCTATAATATCAAACTCTCAAGAGATTATCACTTTCAGTGCTAAGGAATAATTTTTCCTTTCTTTACAGGAACATTTAATGGTGTGACTTCTGGAATATCTTTTTCAATATCTCAAAAATCAGAGTAACAGAATTTATTTTAAAATTAGGGTTATGATTCAGAGGCAAAGTAGAAATTACTGCTCATTTAAATCATAAGAAAGAAATATATAAAACCATTTTAAGATAATGGTGAAAGAGTTTTTGCCCAAGAGTCTCCATCTTACTATTTGGCTTTGGTTGTTAATTCAAGTTGAAACAGCATCACTAGTATTGTTGTCTTCGAGCATTTTGCTTTTGGAAAAAAGCCTTCCCAAATTCATAGGTACTGATCATAATAGCACAAGCAGGAGCAATTTTAATTAAACGGGGAATGAGGCCTGAAAAGAGAATAGAAAAAAAATCAGAACAAATTTTGCCTTATGTTTAAAAAATATAATTTTTAAAAAAGATTTTATTTGAGAGAGTGAGAGCACAAGCGCACGCATCAGCAGAGGGAGAAGCAGAGGGAGAGGGAGAAGCAGACTCCTTGCTGATCAGGGAGCCCGATGCCAGGCTCGATCCTGGAACTCCGGGATCATGACCTGAGCTGAAGGCATATGCTTAACTGACTGAGCCACCCAGGCATCCCTAAGATGTTTGCTTTAATATCATAAATGTGGTATGTTTTCATAAATGGGGAATGTTTTCAATAATTTCCTGCTTAAAGTTAATTTAGGAAGATGACAGATGTAAAAGTAACCATTTTATTCAACAATTTGGTAAAGCACGTATTTTTACCTGTAAATAATCCTGCAAATCCATTCTTAGCAACAATGTTCTTCATGATAGTCCAGGTTGACATAGGCAAAGGCATAGAAACTAAATGTTAAAGAAATAATACTTTATAAATTATCCCTTAATAACTTATAATACACATAATACACATAAAAATGTTTGACCTTTGGGCATGTATAATCATTATAATAAGAACAGATCTATTTACCTAAAATTTACCCAAAATCTTATTTCTAACAATTGGATTCATTAAAAAGAATTAGAAGAAGGTCTTTAAGGTGTATACAACTGGATATAATCAAGGGGGAATATACAGATGGAGTCTCTGAATTAAGTTTCTTAAGCTTGGTGGTGGGTAGTATCCTTTATACATATTTCCATGCCTTAAAATGAAAAATTTAAAAGATGTACAGAAATTTTCATGGGGTCCCCAAAGCCAAACAGAAGCCCTGATAACCATTTTTCATTACATTTTTATTGCACATCTTTAAAAAAATGTTTTTTTCCTAAGAAGTTCTGAAAAGAATAGCTCACTCTCCCTAGGGAGGTCTGTCTGCCTTTATTAAAACCTTTCTGAACAGATGTGCCAGTCTCTCTCTTTTTTTTAAAAGATTTGTCTGACAGAGACACAGCGAGACAGGGAACACAAGCAGGGGGAGCGGGAGAGGGAGAAGCAGGCTTCCCGCTGAGCAGGGAGCCCGATGCGGGGTTCGATCCCAGGACCCTGGGATCATGACCTGAGCTGAAGGCAGACGCTTAATGACTGAGCCACCCAGGCGCCCCTAGATGTGCCAGTCTTGATATCAATCTTGTCTCCTCCAAAGGGCAGACTTAGCCTTTTTTTAAACAAAATTCTGCATTTTTATAAAATTTGATGAAAAAAATATTTCAAACTGTACAGTCACTAGAAGCACACTTGGCATCTCCAGCCTTTAATTAACAGTAACATCTCTCTTATTTGCAACCACTCAAATATCTTAAAGTAAAAAACTATTTTTTAAAAACAAAAATAGATGTCACTGATGTTCAAACACACAGCTATGAATGAGCTATTCATGCACAAAGTTTACTTACCTTCATTTTACACAGTGATTCTAAGCAGCTGCCTTAGGTCCCAGATTACTAGATCAGTGGGTAAAAAAGGAGTCTGCTAGGAAGCAGGCACACTACACCACGTGAACACTGTGACAGCTGACACACTGAGGTTATCAAAGTCTTGGTTTGAGATCAGCTGGATGAGAGGCAAACGCTGCTACAGTAACCCCATTAGCTGCTCAGAGCTGCATTTATAAGACTATGATAGTCAATGTGAACGTGGATGACAACTCGGAGTCATTCAGAAAGATTAAGCTATGTATTATTAAGCATGCCCAGGGAAAAAAAAGAAAAGGTTGGAGAAAGACAGCTTTTAAAAATGGCTTTTTAGAATTTTACCACTTAATGGCATGGGCTCATTATCTCAAATCTCATTTGCAGAAATACCAGATTCTCTGACCATGAAGATAAATGAGGTTTTGTGATTTATTTAAGACGCTGTATGATCAATATAAATCTGTAGGTATAAAGATAATAACTATAGCAATCCAACAGGACGGAGGCATTTTTGAAACCAAGACAAAGTATTTATGAATGAAATTTAACTTTCTAAAGAAAGTTAATGACAAAAATTTTACATGACAAGTCGGCAACTTCTTCATGTTTAAATTATTCCATTTACATTTTGGAAACAACTAGTGAAAGAAAGGAAGCCCAGTAGCCAGGTATTTTTAGAATTCAAGATCCAAAGTGGTCCCTATTTAAATAGCAGGGTGCAATCAGTGCAGAAGAGAATGGACAGAAAGCGTTACCAACTGAAGGTAAGCCTCGGTCACACGCTCATCAAATCTCCAAAGTATCTCCTGCCTAAAGTTCCAACACTCTAGAGCTATTCCTACAGGTAATAAGTAACTTCTTACGTTGTAAGGAAACACTGGTTATTTCATATTTCAAGCATAGACAACAATAAAAGAAACACTCATTTACTGACCATCCACATTTATCAAATCCTAGCAATTATGCAGCAAATATATTCCCTCTCAGTATTCTTCTTCCTCTTTCCTGAGAGGTAAACACTCTCTTGTCTTTCTTTTTTCCTTTATCTTTCTCATGCTTGTGTTTAAACTTTATTACATCTGAACATATCCATAAATAATATATACTCTTGCTTATCATGCTCTTAAACTTTGTATAAATACTATCACACTGCACATTTGTACATTAGGATTATCCATATTGGCAATACAGCTATATTTGATTTATTTTTTATATGGATTATCACAGTTTGCCCATTTCCTTGCCAGGGACTATTTTGGTGCTTTCTACCTTTTTGAAGAATCCTGCAGTGAGTATCCTTGTACACGTGCAGACGTTTCTCTAGGGCACATATCAAAGGTGGAAAGCTGCTTGTTCAAAGAGCCTTTTTTGAGACTGCCAGATTATTTTCCAAACTCAGACTCCCACCTGCCCGGCATGAGCACTCCCGCCAACAACCCAGTGCATATCAAATGTCCTCTCACTGCCCTTCTGGTTGGCATCGTCCGCATGACTACTAAGATGGAGCCTTTCTCTTCACAAATTTGTCACATATAACCATTTTTTAATGGTTTTAAAATTTCTGTTGAAGAATTTTAAAATACTGAATATGTTCATAGAAAAAAATTTAACTGCAACTGTCGAAAACAGGTGGATCTGAGCTAGGTTTAAAAACCTGAAAGGTGACATTAAATTTTTTTAAATTATAAATGATGGGCTCATAAGTGAGGAAATAGTTGTCTCTATTATGAAATCTGGCACTCACTACATCCTAATATGTTTCTTTTCCATTACATTATGAGCTGTTTGAGGACTTAGAGACGGCCTCACTAGTCTGTATAGACCAGCATGGTGCACTCAAATCAGGAGTCGACTAATGGATGGGAGACATGGTCAAAGTGCGCTGCTACAGAGATCATATTCTTACAAGGAACTCAGCATCATTTTCTATAGAACACTTCTTATTTTTCTTTTTGCTTAGAGGTAATGGATTTGCTGTAGCTGAGCTACAGAGTGGAGAACGCCTCCACTCTTTGGTGGGTTAAAAAATGATAAAATGAGAAAAAATAGGGGTTATCACTCAAATCAGAAGTGTAGTTTGCAGTAAAAGCATATCTTGCTAAATATACCTGGTTCATAGCTGAAGCAGAGTAACAGGTAAAAGTGACCAATGATAACCATACAAAATAAAGACCTAAGACTTATTTAAGGTTTCTCCTTTGGGGTTTACTGGAGAAACACTAGAAAAAAAAGAGTGATAGGTGAGAGTTGAATCTAGTGAAAGAAGATGCCTCCTTGATGCCCGTCTCAAGGAGGATGTACAATCACTATCACCTAGGGAACATTTTCAGAATACACAAGTTAAGAGTCCCAGATTAGGTCTTTATGACAGTCCACTGGCGGTGGTGCCCAGCTTTAGATGTAATGAAAAAGCACCCCAGGTGACTCCAGTTAAGTGGCTCTCAGAAGAGAGCCACTTAGAGCATCAGAATCTAACTGTAGAGATTCCCACCTTTTCCCTCACTATCGCCACGAGTCATGAATCACACCAAAGACCATATTCCTACTAAATTAAACACTTCACGTAATAGAGGAAACAGGAATTCTGATGAGTTGGAAGGGAGAATAAAACAAAATAATTTTGAACTATCAGGGGAGAACAGATAGGGCTTAGGCAGCTAGAAGGCTCCCACCCAAAACAGAAGTGGGAAGAACCCTGATAATAAACTTTGTTACTTTTCAGGTTTTAGTTAGCTCCTATTACAAGAATGGACTAAGAGTCTGGAAAGTCAAGGACAAAGCAGTCACTAATATTCATCAGATTCAGGTGTTTGTAAACAGTGTTTCTTTCAACAATTATAATACCTATTTTACTTGTATACAGAATATGCTGGTGGGTTTGAACAATAGAACAATTTATTAACATTATTATAATAGATTTATCAATCATGAGGTTTACATGACACATTTTTGTAATAGATAATTTCCAATGGATTTGCCACACCTTCTATAGATAATAATGACAGAGGAATCTAGCAGAAGCTCCTTAGAGTGTACTTTTGTTCTAGAAGAAATTACAGGTTATAAAGAGGTAAACATAGGATAACAGGTAGGAAAAAACCGTATCAAAAGGAAGGGAAGCTAAAAAACATTAAGACTGAAATGTATACACAAAACTAATGAAACAAAGCACACCAAGAGAAAAAGCATTCCCATGAATTTCCTATCCTTCACCCTAATTTGTCTAGATTTATTTGAAAGAATAGTTATATAGTACATAGTTTTCTCTTTAGCAGGTATAAGACTTAACTGATGGCAGGCAAAATATATAGATTTTTAAATTTCTTAAGTTTTGAAGGGAGTTGAGAGTATTTTTTTCTCTGGGCATTCCATTCTAACAGTATAGTAGTTTCAGTTAAAGCAGCAGAGGTTGAAAAAGAAATCTTATTTTTCTTATTTAGATAGTCCCATCTGGAAAGGAAAAACCGATCATGGCATCTTGAAAATGTTTTAAATTACTTAAACTTACTTTTATGACTTTCATATGTCCAAAGTTGAGTCTGCTTTTGTGTTTTTACCACATCGAATGGCAAAGTTGCAACAGCTGCAAACTAGCAAAAAGTACAATTAATTTAAATCTACCTTTAAATTTTTTCTTAATATTTTTATATTCTTCTAAGGTAGCACATTATTGAAGTTTAAAGAATGGAATCGTAACTAAACTTAAACTTAAGATGAAACCAGACACATTCAATGAGAAGTTTTCATTTGGTTCCAGTAGGTCAGCACCTCACTCTAGGTCATCACAAATTCATTTTTTAAGTATGTGGAAATAAGAAAACTCTGTGGCCAAGATCATGATGATATGAACCTGCATAAAAGACCACTACACAGCTTTACATTACGTGGAGGAGTGGAAATAGTGAACTCTCTACTACCTAAAAATGGTCATTTGAGATTCCTCCCTTCTGACTCTAATTTCTGTTAAAATTCTTTGTTGTTTTCTTTTTTTTTTCCTGTTAAAATTCTTCTAAGAAATACTTAGCCAAAGAAACAGAAATTAGCAGCAGAGGATGAAATGACTTCTACTCAATCTCATTATATATATGAAATAACAAACACTCCATGAAATATTACCTAACCAGATATACTGGCATTAATTTAATGAACTGACAAATATTTGGTAAGTAATAAAGCACTAATTAAAAATTATAGCTGTAATGATCTAACAAATCAAAAAATTTTCAGAAAAACATAATAATGTATTTGTAATATAATAAAAACATACACACAAAGTACATTTAAAAATATTTAGTGGCTAGGGGTGCCTGGGTGGCTCAGTCTGTTAAGTGTCTGCCTTCGGCTCAGGTCATGATCCCGGGGTCCTGGGATCCAGCCCCGCACTGGGCTCCCTGCTCAGTGGGGAGTCTGCTTCTCCCTTTCTCCCTCCCCCCACTCATGCTTACTCTCTCTCTCCCTCTCTAAAATGAATAAATTTTTTTTTTTTAAAGATTTTATTTATTTGACAGAGAGACAGAGAGAGAGAGGGAACACAAGCAGGGGGAGTGGGAGAGGGAGAAGCAGGTTTCCCGCTGAGCAGGGAGCCCGACGCGGGGCTTGATCCCAGGACCCTGGGACCATGACCTGAGCTGAAGGCAGATGCCCAACGACTGAGCCACCCAGGAGCCCCAATAAATAAAATCTTTAAAAAATAAAATATTTAGTGGCTAAATAAATGATTTCCTCAAAATAGGAGAGTCAATACTTAGAAAATTTTTAAAGCACTGCAGCCCAAAAGTGATACCTCAATAATATGAAATGCTATCTAATCTTTCATTGTTTTAATAGGACAATTACCATTATTCTGGAATATTAACAAGAAAATACCAACTTACAGAACCAGACAATGCCCCTGAAGTAAAGTTGATCATAAATGTTGGTTCGTATAAACCAGATTTCGCACACAACCACTTCTTTAAAACTTCATAGTTATACCAGTACATTGCTATAAAAACAGAAAATGAAATAAACACATAATTTAGAAGTGAAATGGGGACTTTAAATATATAAGGTTATATATTAAAGGAAAAGGGAAAGTCTAACCCTGATACATCCTACTTTCTCCTTGGACACACATACTAGGTGAGACTGAAAAATTCAAAGAAAAGGAACCAAGTCCTCAGAAATATTCTAGCAGTTTTATAAACAAATATACAACAGTAAAGTAGGACTTTAATTCTAAAACCTGACAAGGACGACAGAAGAAAGGACAACTATAATTCAATCTCATTCATTAACACAGGTATAAAAATTCTTAAAAAAAAAAAAAAAAGGCAACCAAACCCAGAAGTATTTCATAAAACATCATATACTATGACTAAACTGGGTTCTCATAAGAGGAATGCAAAGGTAGTAAATGCTAACAAACCCTTTAAATGTGAAACGCCACATTAAAAGAACCATGGGATCGTCTAAAATTGATGGAAAAGAATTTCATAAAATTCAACCCATTTTCATTTTTAAAGCAATTTCTTCGAAACCTTGAGATAACAGGAAATTTCCTTAACTAGAAAAAGGATATACATCAAGAACCCTTAGCAAAAGTAATTAATGGTGAAACAACAGAATTATTTCCTTAAGCATGAGAAAAATGATAGGGATGCAACATCATTGCTATTATTCAAAACTGTCCTAGGAAGCACAGTAAGACACAAAAAAAATAAAAGCTCTGTTAATTAAAAATGAAGAAACAAAATAGTTACAATTTATATTGTCTATTTTTAATAGACAAATTAAGGAAATCCAAGATAGGCAAAGTAAAATTAATAACAGGAAATCCAAGATAGGCAAAGTAAAATTAATAATAGTTTTAAAAGTAACTGAATATTAAATATAATCTAACACAGGAAAATTAATTGTAACACTGCACTGGCCTAAGATTTGGAATTTTTATTTTAATAGAGCTTTTAAAATAGCTACCAAAGTTGAAGGTGGGTGTAACTATAAATAAATCTTAAAAAAAAAAAGGTTGTATATAATATTTATGAAGAAAAATGTAAAACTCTACTAACACACTTTAAAGAAAAACTATATAATAGAGATGACATTCTTGGGGAAAAAAATAAGGTAACATCAAGATTTTTAATAATGCACCAGTAGTTTAGACAACACCAGTATCAGCACAAGCTCAGACAAACTGGCCAGCAGAACAGATGTATGCATACGTGAAGCTCTGATGGGACAGGTAACCCTGCAAATCCCTGGAGCAAATGTGGTGACTCATAAATGATGCTGGGACAACCATCCATCCATATGAGGGGGGGATAAAGTTGAGTATTTATCTCAGTTCTTAACTGCAAATCAATTATGGATAAATGGCCAATGAAATGGTGCACAACCTCATCAATAGGCAGGCAAATATAAGTTAAAGTGAGATACCACTTTAAATTACTGGAGAAACAAAACTTAAGAGCTTTGACAGTAAAAGTACTGGTGAGGGTATGAAATGAAGGAACAGGAAGCTGGTAGGTGTACTGATCTATATAGTCACTTTAGAAAAGAATCTGACATTATGTAATAATTAAAGTGTGTATATTTATATGAACTAGCAAATTGAATACTGGAGAAATCCTTGTATGTGTACAACAAGAGTCTATTAAAAATATTCTTGTTTTTAGCACTTTCTTGTTTACTCATAAATAAGTAAAAATGAAAAAAAAGTTTCACATAAAAAGAAAAATGAAACAAGATTTTTGAGTAAAATATGCATCTTTTAAAGCTCAAAAATAGGGGCGCCTGGGTGGCTCAGTGGGTTGGGCGTCTGCCTTTGGCTCAGGTCATGATCCCGAGGTCCTGGGATCGAGCCCCGCATCAGGCTCCCTATTCAGCGGGAAGCCTGCTTCTCCCTCTCCTTCTGCTCCTCCCCCTGCCTCTGCTCTTTCTCTCACTCTGTGTCAAATAAATAAAATCTTAAAAAAAATAAATAAATCTCAGAAATAGGCAAAACTAAGTAACATATTGTTTGGCAATAATACACATGTGGTAAAACTATTTTTTAAAAATCAAATGAGTGATAAAGTTCAGTATAGTGGTTACAACTGGAGATGTTGACAGCGGAGGTGAATGAATATTATGTGGTTTCATGATTTAAAAAATCGCAGTGTTCTAGTTCACAGATTGAATGGTGACCTCACAAGTGTTCGTTTTATCAATATACTTCATAATTTATACTATGTTACTTATGTGTCAAATATCATATAATAAAAAAAGAAAAATTGGCCTAGGAATCTGTATTTTTAAATCACATAACTAAACACAAAATGCTGAAGAGGAATACTAATGGAAAGGGCAAGATGCATAGAGATGTGAAGAGAGCACAAGAAAAGGATTAATTCGAAGGAAAAAAAAGGAATTTTGAAGCATGCACATTTTATAAGTTGTTAGTTTTGCACTTTCTCATGATTTTCTCCCTCTTAAGAATTCAGTAATTAGCACAACCTCCTCTCTGATTTATAATAGCGTTTTACAGGATACTCATTTAAAGGGGAAGATTTTTATCTCTAATAACTGAAAAAGTAGAAATCAATATAATTCACAGGTGCTCTTAAACATTTTATATTTTGATTTGTAGTTGTTCACTTACCTTAGCAATTATCGCATTTAGGGTAAGATTAAAGGTAGTTTGTTTTATCTAAATGTGAATATATACCGATTAATAGCTTTAAAAAAATGAAACAGAAGGAAAACAGAAAGTTAGGCTTGAATTAGAAACTACCCGTCCAATAAAGACTCATAAAGATCTGAGGGCCCAACACTGAACTAGAAGTCTGTGGTCACCAAAGAAGATAACTTACCTTTAGCCATAAAGGGCTTCAAATTTACTTAATTTAAAAGTGATATATATAATGAATCATTGAACACTACATCAAAAACTAATGATGTACTACATGTTGGCTAACTGAATAAAAAATAAAAAAATAAAAGTGATACATAAGACAACGCTACCTAAAATTTAGCAGATACTAAGATAAATCCTACCTGAGAATGGTACATCTCTAAGAACAGTAGGAATCCAGCCCCTCCAAAGGGAAATCCAACCATCTTCAGATACTTTCTTGCTGACAAATTGATGCAATTCTTTGTAAGAAAACTTCTTAGATTGCATCTTGGTTCTAATCAATTCTAATGGACTTATCACAGTTACTGCACCTACTAATATAAACAAGCAGATATAAGAAAACAAAAACAAAGCCATGTACTATGCAAACACACATGCAAAAATATTTCATGCATTTTATGTATGTATCTTTCATTCTGAAATGTCTGCAAACCTTAAAATCAAATATCTAATGATGCCAACATATTGGTGCACATTTTTTCTCCTTGATAAAGGTATTTCTTAAAAGCCTGCTTTCATATAACTTACTCTTTCTGGTTTCAACTCTTTAAGATTTTATTTTTTTTTAAGTAATCTCTACACCCAACGTGGGGCTCGAACTCACAACCCCAAGGTCAAGAGTCGTGTGCTCCACCAACTGAGCCAGCCAGGCACCACTGGTTTCAACTCTTCACGAGCACTTCCAGAAATATTACACATCAATTAAACTACTATAAAACCTCACTCCCACAGCACGGAGAAAAATATCTTTCTGCACAGATGCAAATTTCCTTCTCATTAAACTCTGAATCCCAGAGTTATCTATACGGAAAATGATTCAGGACTTGGGCATCAATTTGACATCAACTTGACATCGGATATCTGACATCTGATGTCATTCTAAAATCTAGAATCTAAAGTCTAAACTCTCCGGTCCAAGATTCAATAGGGATGGGTTGATCCCATCTTATTCTGATGGCAATTGCTACATACTATATGACTTCTAGAGGAGAGGTATTAACAAATTAGTACAAGCTACAATGCAAAATGTACCAATACTCTGCATTTTATACAAAATTATCTGTGACTGTCAAAATTGTAAAAGAAGTTTTAAACAGAAGTCAAAATGAAAATACAGTAAGTTTATTACTTACATCTGGCAACAATTCCGGCAATAATTGGTATACGACTTTCATTTTCTCCTAATTTTGATCTCAGGAGAGCAGATAATTGATCATAGCAGGTAAAATAAATAACTGTGGCAGGAACTGCCATCACTCTGTTAGAAAAACACCAACAAAAAGATTTATACAAAACTGTCAAAAGGCTTAAATGTATTATTTATAAGCTAAAATCCTTATACTGTATATAAGCTGAAAACCATAACGAATCAGCCAATGAAATCGATTTTTCTTTTATTTGAAAATTATTAGTGTTTAACTTAGGCAACAAAAAGATGTACATTAGTATCTGCCCTACAGAAGTTTAGAGTCTAGTTGTGAAGGTAAGTTACAGAGCACTTGCTCAGGTCATCAACAGGAAAAGACTAAAGACTACCTCCTTGATTTGTTCTATTGTTTCTGGTCTCCCAAAAATCTTCCTTCCCAATTACATTCACTGTAATATGAAAAATCCCTGAAGTAAAAAATACAAGAGCATTTGTAAAATATTTTTGAACTTTGGACAGAGTATCATACCTGCTTGTATCCAGAAATAAATTACAATTAATGTTGCCAGAATATATATAGTTTTGAGGAAATTCCAGTGGCATATTCTTTCAAATGAAATCATCAAAAGGGAATTATTAATAAAATTAAACACAAAGTTGCAGGCACTGTCATGTTATATATATTAATACAACAAGAAACCAGTTTATGTTTATGGTCTGACTAAGGGACATTCACAGACCATACTTTGAAATCCCTAATGTTCCACAGTGAAGTTTGATGATGAGAATTTAGAAATAGAATTGACTGCTGGTCTTGGATCAGCCACTAACTTTATAACCTTAGGCACTGTTTAAAATGTATGCCTCAGGGGCGCCTGGGTGGCTCAGTCGTTAAGCATCTGCCTTCGGCTCAGGTCATGATCCCAGAGTCCTGGCCTGTGTTGGGCTCCCTGCTCAGCGTGAAGTCTGCTTCTCCCTCTCCCTCTCCCACTCCCCCTGCTTATGTTTCTTCTCTCGCTGTCTCTCTCTGTCAAATAAATCTTAAAAAGAAAAAAAAGTATGCCTCAAAGTGACTAACTGCTCCACAAAAAAGATACATTAAAAAGAAATGAAGCAAAAAAAGGTATTACTTGGGATTTTTACATTCAGCCTTACTAGTTTATCATATTAACTCATATAATAGCTAGTTAGTAGAGAATTTAAATTATCCAAACAAGGGAAAGTATATATCACAGTATCTCTTATTATTTTTGTAAAACAAACAAAAAGTCAAGTAACACCAAGTTCTTAATTTCTGAAAATGAAAAAAAAATTATACTTGTGCACCAAAGACTTACCACAGCAGGCCTGGTTGCTCAAGTCTTCTTTATCTTCAGGGGGACCTTTTGCATGTTTGACCTTTCGCCAATTCCAAGGAATGTAGCCCTTGGAATATTCCATATAATAAGGTTTTTTTTGGTATGTCTCGAGCACAAAATCAACTTGTTTAGGTTGTTTTGTGCAAATGATGTGACTTTGGTAAACATATGTTTTTGTTTTAAGATTTTATTTATTTGACAGAGAGAGAGAGAAAGAGCACGAGTAGGCAGAGTGGCAGGCAGAGGGAGAAGGAGAAGCAGGCTCTCCGCTGGTAGGACTCGATCCCAGGACTCCAGGATCATGACCTGAGCCGAAGGCAGCCGCTTAACCGACTGAGCCACCCAGGCGCCCCTAAACATTTGCTTTCTTTTTGGGGGTCTGGGTCTTGGTAATCACAGGTGGTCACAAAGAAAGAATTTGCCTATGTCATCAATCCCCAATATAAGCACCAGACTGTGCCATCGAACACTTTGCACACGCCACTGCAGTTCAATGCTGGAAGAATAAGCCTGTCCTATGGGATGTCACCAGGGAGGGCTGTGGAAGTCTTATGCCTGCCTGGTCAGCTACTGTTGTGCCTTTTCCTTTCCTGATTCTGCTTTGTAGCCTTTTGCTGTAATAAGTCACAGACATGAGTATAACCTTCTTTAGGTCCTGTGAGTCCTTCTAACAAATCATCCAATGTGTGGGTGGTTGTGGGACTCACAAAACAATGCTGCAGAAAATGAAAAAGTCCCAATATTATAAATGCACAATTTTATCCAACCATGCCACTTATAAGGCAAAACAAAACAGCAACCATCATTTAGTGAGAAAATATTAAATTACAACTTACAAGGTAGGGGGAAGGCCACTCCACAGGGATTTAATGCCCTCATTTCGAACAATTTTCAAAAAGGCATCCTAAAATTATAATAGAAAAAAGTAGTCAAAATATATCCTTGAACCAGATATATAAACTTTTTGATAAATCATTGGTACTTTTATTCTTTCAAGCGTTTATTTCCAAAATGTGAACTTCTCAGATGTATGTCATATCCATTCTTAAAAAAAAAAAAAAAAAGGAATTTTCCTCAACTTTCACATACAAGTAAAACACTTCTGAATACTTGCTGTTCACAGAAAAAAATTTATGTTACTCAGCTACAGAGTATTCTACTTAGGGCTTAGATGCCTAGTTTTTAAAGGATTATTATAAAAAGGAAATCGAGTAATGGCAGAGAATAGGTCAGATTAACTCTCTTGACCAACTACAGAATCTGAGAAAAAATTATTTAAACCCAGTACTTGAAATCTCTGGAGAGGAATCAAACCACAGGTAAAAATCAGTGGGGAGTCTGTTGTTAAAAGACAAAGCAAGGAGGGAGATTTGCAAATTTGCAGCTTTTGTCTGTAGAAGTGGCAAAGAACAGCCCATTTACTTGCTTGAGATGGCAAATACAGAGTCCAGGCTGACAGAATATTCAGAAACTTAGGTAGGAAAAGGTGGCACTACAGAAAACATAAGCCCCAAAGTTTGCATACAAAATCAGCCACCAAACTTGGCTCACCGATAAATTACGCAATCCCAGAGCAAGACAACAAAGTCCTGGACCAAAAAAAAAAACAAAAAAAAGCAGAAGCTAAAGGCTGAGTGGAAATTTCAGCTGCAACCCAACACAGGGGAGCCTGACTTTGGAGTGTTAATCCAGCCAAAGTTAACTGCCTTCTAGAACAAAATGGACTCTTTAGCAGAATATAAAAGAAATCCAGAGTTTTTACAATGCATCATTCATAATGTCCACTATACAATCAAAATTCCTAAGACATAAAAAGAAACAAGAAAATGTGCCCATATATAAAGAAAAAGTAGTCAAGAGAAACCAACACTGAAATTTCAGATAATACAACTAGCAGGCAAGAATTCTAAAGGAGCTATTATAAATATATTCAAAAACTTAAAAGATGATATATAGATAATGAATGAACAAATTTGGAATTTCAGCACAGAAACAGTTACCATAAAAACCAGCCAAATGAAAATTCTAAACCTGAAGCGAAAAATTCACTAAGTGGGCTAACAGCAGAAAGGAAACACAAGTAGAGTCACTGAACTTGAAGACAGATCTTCAGTCTGAAGGAGGAGGAGGAAAAAGAATGAAGAAAAATGTAGACGCTCAGGGACCTGATGGGAAACATCAAGTGGTAAAACTGGTTTATTTGGAATCATAGAAGAGAAGAGAACAGGACAGGAAATAACCTACAGAAATGACGGCCAAAAACTTCCCCAAATATGTGAAAGACATCAATTTACAGAGCCCCAAATCAGAAAAGATCCCAAGCAAAATAAAAAGACAATGAAAACAGAAAAGGAAAAGCAAAAACGACAAAACGCATCTAGAGAACGGATGAAACAAATGAAGGCTAACTTCTCCTAAGACACAGGGAAGGTCACAAGATAATGTAATGAATGGCATGTTTAAGGCACTGAAGAAAACTATGCCAGAATTTCGTATGCTGCCAAAATAGGCTTCAAAAATGCTTGACAAAGACATTTCAGTAGAACAAAAACTGAAAGTAAAACTGCCAAAATACCTGCGTGAAAGAAATGCTGAAAAAACGCTCTTTGGGAAAAAGGGCTATGATGCTACAAAAAGCAACTAAGATCTTCAAAAAAGGAAGGAAGTAAAGAAGAAATGGTAAATATACAGTTATATATGAAAAAAATTATTTTTCCCCTTCCTCCTTTTAACTACTTTAAAAGCTATGACTCTTTAAATAAAAAAGTTCTAACAGCGAGTTGTGGAATCTATAATGTACACGAAGTCACAGCACCAAGAAAGGAGAATGCTGTCAAGAACCAGGTGGGGTCTAAGTATATGGACCCTACTTGCAAATTACCAAGTTAGCCCGCCACAGTACCATGAGAGCTGGCCGAAGGCAAGAATCTCAGGCTGAAGAGGTAACGGACAGTTTATTACTCACAGGAACAGCAGCAGCCAGAATACCAGCATTTCTGTACCAGTTTCCTGAGCCCCAATTTCCACAGAACACGTGAGGGAGTCTGGATGACATCGAACACACAGTGGCCTGCATTACAACAGGGGAAATCTGACCTGCGGGGACCTAAATCCTCTGTAATGGGAGTGAGGATACCTTCCCTTTGCTCTAGAGGGAGACAGTGTATCTTCCAAGGTTATTCACTATACAAACACCCTGGAAAAGATGGCAAGGAATATTAAGGGCAGTCAGCACCTTGCTCACAAGATACGTAGAAACGGTGAAAGACTTGGGAGAATTGTCTCCCTAGAAATGGGAACAGAGAAATCAATGTAATATTATAATCCAACTAATCAAAAAGAAGGCAAGAAAGGAGAAGAAAACCAAAAAGCAACAACAGAGGGAGCAAAGAGCAAAAAACAAAGATAGTAGACTGACACCCAACCACGTTAGGAAGTCCTTTAAAGGTAACTACTAACTTTTCCAATTAAAAATCAGAGATTGTCAGGGGACTAAAAAAACAAGGCCCAGCTGTATGTTGTCTTGGAGAAAAAGGATGGAAAAAGATACACCTTATAAACACCAGGAGAAAGCTGGAGTGGCTGCATTACTATCAGACAAAAGATTTCAAGATAATGAGTATTACCAGTGATAAAAAGAAATACATTTCATTAAAATAAAATGTATCAGAAAAATGTATCAAGTATAAATGTATATGTCCCTAAAACAGGGCTTCAAAACCCATGAAGCAAACCCGAGAACTCAAAGCGAAAAGAAACAAGCTGTCAATCATAATTGAAGATTTTTATATCCTCTTTCATTGACAGAATTGAAAAAAAAAATTAGTAAGAATTTAGAAGATCTAAATGAAGTACCAGCCATCCTGACCTGATGGTTTACAGGACACTATATGCCCAACAATTGCAGAATATAGGTTTTTAAAGTGGACATAAAATATTCACCAAGACAGATCATATGTAGGGCCATTAAGCAAGACTCAATAAATTTCAAAAATCTAAATTTACAGAGTATATTCCTCTGACTGGAATAAAAGTAGAAATCAGAAACAATAGGATTCTAGAAAATATCCAATTATTAATAAATATTATACTTCTAAATAACCATGGCAAAAAAAGAAATTACAGGGGAAATTAGAAAATATTTCAAATGACTGATATTAAAAATTGGGATACATCAGGGGCGCCTGGGTGGCTCAGTTGTTAAGTGTCTGCCTTCGGCTCAGGTCATGATCCCACGGTCCTGGGATTGAGCCCCGCACTGGGCTCCTTGCTAGGTGGGGAGCCTGCTTCTCCCTCTCCCACTCCCCCTGCTTGTGTTCCCTCTCTCGCTGTCTCTCTCTGTCAAATAAATAAATAAAATCTTAAAGAAAAAAAAATTGGGATACATCAAATTTAGCGCCCTGAAGGACAGTTGCCACTTCTGTCCTCAGGACAAGAAAAAAGTTCAACAAACTGAAAAATTAACAACCCCTCTTAGATTTAAAAAATAATCCAAGTCACAGGGCAAACTGCTACCCTGAAAACTGGATAAACAGATACAGAGACTCAGAGCTTACTAGAGTGGAAGCCTGCAGTTAGAACCAATGTTAATAACTACACTTTAAACTATAAATAACAAATTGCTGAAAGCTCAGTGTATATTAACTTGAGAATCAAAAACTGAGGGGGGCCTCCCCACTTTCATGAATTTTAGCTCTGTGAGTCCTACCAGATTCTCACTGTGATGATCAGAGAAAAATCTCCTCCTGCTTCCACCAGGGGAAGGGGAAATGTAACCAGTTTTGAAATATACCCCAAACCTGTATTCTCCTTAATAAAGCCTATACTCAAGGGAAAATATTTTATCAGAGCCTAAACCACTGTAGTTTTACCAAAATCTAACCAACCTGGGGCAAGGGAAACACCCCACTCATGTTCCTAAAGAATAAGACCTAATCACAGAACTATAGAATATTTCTCTTCCTCCATACCTAACACCACATCTCTAGGGCTCCTGTAAAACAACAGAGGATCGTAGCTTTGACAGAACCGTGAGCCTCAGACTCTGTTTGAGCAGTCTCTGGGGAAACTCAAAGATAACAGGCAAGACAAAAAAGAGGACACCAGAGGGAATTTTATTCTCTGACAACAAAGCTACAAGAAGCACTTAACACAGCCTTACCTGTAATCAGATAAACATTATCACCTGACAATAAAGCTGCATTGACCTCCGTTTTTTTTAACCCAATACAACATGTGTGGCTTTCAACAAAAGAAATTGCAAGTATGCTGAAAGGCAGAAAAACACAGTCTGAAGAAACAGAGCAAGCGTCAGAACCAGACTCATATATGGCAGAGATTTTAGAAGTATCAGACTGGGAATCTAAATAACTAAGATGAATACAGCAAGCATTCTACTGGTAGTGTCAGAGGGGCAGAGAAGAACAGAGAGTGGGATCACCCCACCAGTGTCAGTGCAAATGATAAGGTAAGCCAGAACTCCCTCTCTGCTCTCAGTCTGTTTGGGCTGCTATAACCAAGTACCTTATAGACGACAGAAATTTATATCCCACATTTCTGGAGGCTGGAAGTCCCAGATCAGGGTCTCTGATTTCTTCTTGTATCCTCACCTGGTCGAAGGGCAAGGAGGCTCTGGGCCTCTTCTACAAGGTCATTAATTCCTTAGGTCTCTGCCCTCATGACCTAATCACCTTCAGCTCCACCTCCTAATACCATCACTTCAGGCCGTAGGATTTCAACATATGAATTTTGGGTAGACAAGACACAAACAGTCAGATCACAGCACCTGTCTAACAGTAAAGAGGTTCTCCACAACACAGTGTGTCTGTGGATGCTAAGGGAGAAACCTGAACTTCCAGCTATACGCAGCACTAACAAGGTGGCACCCCTCTTCCTCTGAGGTGTCAAAGAAGCCAGGTAAAACAGAATGTTTAAATGAGATTCACAATGTAATACGCAAAATTTCCTGGTTTCAATAAAAAAATCACTTGTCATTCGAAGAACCAAGATGTCTAAATGAAAAAAGACAACAGATGCCAATGAGATAGAGTATTAAAATTATCTGATGTACATTGTAAAGGGGTCAACATAAAAATCACTGAATGATCATTTATGAACACAACCAAAACAAATGAAAAATTAGGAAGCCTCAGCAAAGAAATATATACACAAAAACTCTATAAAGATGAAATTCTAAAGTAACACATAGAAAGGAGGAAAAATAAAACAGCAAGAGAAAACAAAGGGAAGGGGTGCCTGGGTGGCTCAGTCAGTTAGGCATCTGCCTTAGGCTCAGGTCATGATCCCAGGGTCCTGGGATCAAGCCCCAAGTTGGGCTCCCTGCTCAGCATGGAGTCTGCTTCTCCCTCTTCCTCTGACCCTCCTTCCACTCATTCTCTCACTCACTCCCTCCCTCTCTCTCTCTTAAATAAATAAAATCTTAAAAAAAACAAAGCCAAAAAAGGAAATGGCAGGCTTTTAACGATGAGACAACAGGACCAAAATGGAGTCACTTATGCTAACCCCCACGTCAGCACACTGCGACACAGTACGTAACCTAAGTGCAGTTTCAGCCTCTCCCAAGAACATGACCTTAACCAGTCTATGTGTAATTACCAAGTTAGTAGTGAGGTAATCTGCCTGAGAGACCCCCCAACTTCCCTCAGAAGATTGTTACATTGCCTGTAACAATCCACTGTTAGAATAATAACTTTCTTGCCCCATCTTCTTCTGCCTATAAAAGTCCTCTGCCTATTAAGTCTCCTCAGAGCTCCCTTCTACTTGCTAGAGTCAATGCCACCCAAATCATGATTTGCTGAATAAAGCCAATCATATCTTCAAATTTACTCAGCTGAATTTTGTTTTTTAACGAGGGTTAAGTTCTACACTACCCGTAACTCTATTAAATATAGTCTAAATGTATCAACTAAAGATAAAAACTGACAGAGTAGTTAAAAAAAAGACTCAATTTTATGCTCTTATAGGGGAGCAAAATTTGGTACCACAAAATGCAACTCTTTGGCATGCAGATTATTTTAGGCTGAATATTTTCAAGAAACAGAAGCTTCAGGAAGAACCTTTGACCTTCCCTCTGTCTAAAAGAGTTTACAAAGAGGAACTGCTCTAGGAAGGGAGCTATCACCATAGATAAGTATAGTGTAATATAAACTAGGTGTGGTAGACAGGGAGGAACCTGTCTGTTAAAATTCCTCTGTGTCCCACTGTTTCTATGTGGCCCAGCACACATCTGTTTACCAAACATTTACTTTTTCATCTTGCAGTGAATTGTCTTCCTTCCTTGAAACCCCAGACCCTTTCCCTTTTTTAACTGTGGATGACAAATAAACCTCAACTGCCCGCCTATGCGCTACATTTTCTTTGGAGCCCCTGTACATATGTAGTTAACTTTGATTTTCTCCTGTTAACCCAGTTCATTGTCAACACAGTAAAGATGTTATTTAGGTTTAACACAATTTCTATAAAAATCTTAGCAAGACTTTTTTATAGATATAAAAACATTATTCTAAAATTTATATGAAGAGACAAAGGAATTTTAGGAATGGTTAAAATAACTTTGAACAAGGAAAATAAAAATAAAGTGGGAGAAATCAGTCTACCTGATTTCAGGACTTATCATGTATTTATAGTAATTAAGACTGTGTGCTACTGATATAGGTAATAGACAAATAAATGAGAAAGAATAAAGAACCCAAAAATAGCTCTACCCAGTATGCCCAACTGATTGTGGACAAATGTGCAGAAGCACCTTACTGGAGGAAAGACAGCTTTCAACAAATGCAACTGGATACTCACAGGCAAAATGAACAAAAACAATGAAAAAAGTCAACCTCGGATTCATACCTCCTATAACAGTAACTCAAAATGGATCAAGGACTTAAATATAAAACATAAAGCTATAAAACTTATAGAAAAAAAAACAGGAGAAAATCTTCTAGTCTAAAGATAAATAAAGCATTCTTAGATTTGACACCTAAAGCAAGAAGAAAAATGATAAACTGAACATCAAAATTAAACTTTAACTCCATGAAAGACCCTGTTTAAGAGGATGAAAATAAAAGAGAGTAGAAAAAAATATTTGCAAATCCACTCTCAAGAGGATTATTGTCTAGATTTTATAAAGAATTCTCAAAACTTAATAGTAAAAATACAAACAGTTTAATTGGAAAATGGACAGAAGACATGAAGAGCCATTTCACTGAAGAGGATATACTAATAAATAAGCATATGTAAAGATGTTCAATATCAGTAGCCACTAAGGAAATGCACATGAAAACCACAGTGAGTTATCATTACACATCTCTCAAAACTGCTAAAATAAAAATAGTGACAACATCAAAGGCTAGTGAGGGTGTGGAGAAATTAGAATAGTTACACACTGCTGCTGGGAATGTAAAATGGTACCACCAGTCTAGAAAACAGTTTCTTAAACTCTGAACATACAACTACCATATGACCCAGCAACTGCACTCCTGGGCATTTATCCCAGAGAAATGAAGACTTATGCTGATACTTTGATTTAAAATTAGAAATATACATTTTGGTCTTTGTCCATGGTTCCTGGCAAACAGTTCCTAAAATCACTGTAATTTCCTAATTAATAAAGAGCAACAGAAGCATCTTTTGTTATAATATTCAGCCTTTTGTTCTCAGTCCTAAAATAGCTCCAGAGAATACAGGTGAGAAGAGTATCTTTTGTTATTCATAATAAATTTGATCAATCACGTCTATCTAAGAAAGCCTCCATAAAAATCCCTCAACTACAGGGTCTGGAAGCTTCCAGGTTGGTGAACACATGGAGGTACAAGGAGGGTGACACACCAAGAGAGGGAAGCTCCACACCCACCCCCCAAGCCTTGCCCTATGCATCTTTTCTAACTGGTTACTCCTGAGTTGTATCCTTTCATAAAAAAACTGATCATCTAGTTAGTAAACTGTTTTCTGGAGTTCTGTGAGCTATTCTAGCAACCCACTGAATCCAGAAGGGGGTTGTGGGAACCTCTGATTTACAGCCAGTTAGTCAGAAACACGGGTGACAACCTGGCTTGTGAATGGCATCTGAAATGGGAGCAGTCTTAATGGTGTCAGTATTGACTTAAACTGTAGGATACCTGGTTGGTGTTCACTGGTAACTGAGGAATTGCTTGGCACGGAGGGAAAAAAACCCACATATCTGGTTTAGAAGTGTTGTAAATAGTGTTCCCAGAGAAAAACAGTGAGTAGTTTGTTGTTTTAATATTTATTTTCACACAAAAACCCGAGAATGAATCTATGTAGCAGCTTTATTTATCTTTTTAAAGGTTTTATTTATTTATTTATTTGACAGAGCGGGGGGCGGGGAGGACACAAGCAGGGGCAGAGGGAGAGGGAGAAGCAGGCTTCCCGCTGAGCAGGGAGCCTGATGCGGGGCTCGATCCCAGGACCCTGGCTGGGATCACAACCTGAGCCGAAGGCAGATGCTTAACCAATTAAGCCACCCAGGCGCCCCTGTAGCAGCTTTATCTGAAACAGCTCAAAACTGGCCACAACCCAGAAAATAAACTGGTACATCAATACCATGGAACTAGTGAGCAATAAAAGGAACAAACTATTAATAAATGCAACAACTTGGATGAATCTCCAGATAATTACGCTAAGTGAAAAGTACTAATTCAAAAATGTTATATATGTTGATTCCATTCTTGAACTGAGAAAATGATATAAATGAAGCACACATTAGTGGCTGCCAGGAGTTGAGGAGCAGCTAAGAGCACAAAGGAAATGGTGGTAGCTGTAACAGGGACGCAGGAAGGATGCTTGTGCTGATGGAACTGTTTTATACCTTTAATGTATCAAAGTCAATATCCTGGTTGTGATATTGTACTACTTTTATATGATGTTACCTCTGAGGGGAAGGAGGAAAAAGGTACATGGGATCTGTATATTTTTCTTAAAATTGCATACTATCTACAATTATGTCAAAATAAAATAGTTTAGGGGCACCCGGGTGGCTCAGTTGGTTAAACAGCCAACTCTTGATTTTGGCTCAGGTCATGATCTCAGGGTTGTGGGAATAAGCCCAGAGTCAGGCCCCGCACTCAGCAGGGAGTCTGCTTGTGGATTTTCTTTCTCTCTCTCTCTCTGCCCCTCCAGCCCCCTTGCATGCGTGTAATCTCTCTCAAATAAATAAATAAATAAATAAATAAATAAATAAATTTTTTTAAATAAAAATGTTTAAAAAAATTGACTCCGTTTTTTTCTTTCCACATAAAAAAGCATGAAAAGATGACAGTTAATAACAAGTTAATTAAAAGCAAAGCAGTACTTCCCTTTTCCTGCCTCAACATCTATGTTTTAACTGTGAATAAGTGTGCTAACTATATCATGGACTTAATACTCTCCTGCAACTGGAAAATCTTTCATACATAGATTAAATATAAAAACAGAAAACATGATGTGATTATAAATAACATAATCTCCTTACCAATGTACCCTGGAAACGTCCTGGTTTCTTATACCATGCTTTGTTGCCTCCCTCTTCACAGACACATAGATGATCCATAAGTCCATTACTATACACAAAACATTTTCCTAACAAAGAAGGTCCCAACAGTCAAAAATCATTTCACACAACTGTACTATTTTTACAGAGGAACAAATTCAAAGTACAATGAGTAGACTAGAAAATTATGAAAAGAGATACAACTTTGTTTTCATCTTTTTGGATTAAGAAAACATAAATTGATTTACTTAATGACAAAGCACTGGCCTCTAAACTCAAAGTGGTGAAAGTAATTGAGTAAATTGATGAATTTTATGTTTTCAGAAATGTAGTAAGCAAATGCACACAGAAATAAATTCTTTTAGGGTATCTGAGGAAATGCACAAGGAATATAAAGGAGGAAAACCTGTTTTGAAAAGAGAACATGGGTGTACATCTTCTCCATTTGACAAGAAGAAAACTCTGGTACCCAAGGGAAATTCAGACAAAAAATTTTTTTGAACTATACACACATGAAACATAGATATACATATATACACACATATATAAACATATATGCAGAAATCTAATGGATATCTGAAACTTAAGAGAGTAGATCTTAAAAATTCTCTTCACAAGAAAAAAAATAATCATGTGACGTGATTGATACTAACTTACTGTGGTGACCTTTTTTCAATACATACATACATCAAATCATCATATGGCACACCTCAAACTAATACAATGTTATATGTAGATTATATCTCAATTAGAAAAACAGACGATTAAAAAAGGTTCTCCTCTGTCAATGTAGACAGTGCTATGCTGTCTCTCTGTATTTATACTGCTCATTCTAGACATTCGTCAGCTCCCAGCTGATTTACTTCAACTTTCCCTAACAGCAACTCTTTCCCATTATTGGACTCACCCTGGCTGCCAAAATTATCTTTTCTGGTCAACCATATATGTGGGTCTCGTAATACATAAGTCCAGTGTCTCCTGCTTTTAAGGATTTCTTAAATGTGTAGGAAACTGCTTTCCTTTCGGTCTCCTCCTGCAATCCATCTATCCCGTCCTCCACCTGAACTATGACTGTTGTTCATCCCATCTCGGTACTGTGTTCGTCAGAGTGGCTTCTGTGTCTGAGCCAACACTCTCACAGTCCAAGCAGTCTGTTTTCTGCTTTTTAAACATGTTTGTAATGTCATTATCTTTCTAACACTGTAAAAGATTTATCAAGGAATTGCTATTTTTGCCCATCTAATAAAGATGTATAACTACTCTTTTCAAATTCATATAAACTATACCGTCCAACAATTAACCAAGTTGCCTGATAAAAATAATCATTTCCTACCACTATATTCAAGCAACAGTTAGATGACTGTTGGATGAATGTTTCAGAATGGGCACAGCTCTTGGACTATGGAGGAAGCTAGATTCTAAGGCCCCTATGCTTAGAATTCTGTTCTTACTTGTGAGGCACATACTCAAATATTAAATCATCCTATGCTTTAATTAGGTACATAAAAGTGTTATAACTGTTTTATATATATTTGTTTGCTGGCTAAAACCCATCATGTACAACTAAGTACTGAAAAAACATTTCTGCATGAGTATAAGGAGGTATGAACTTTTAAAAATGAACCAAAAAAAATTATTCAAACAAAAACGAATAAAGTAATATCTAAAAGCCTATTGTAACATTTCCAGGATAACTAGTACACATACCTTTGGAGAATAGGTTGTTTTGGGCTTGGAGTCGAATTTTAACAACATCGAGGGGCGTCACTATGAAGAAACATAAATTTCAATTAGGACGTGATACCTATAAATTGTACAGACATTTGTCCAAAAATCACAAAGTATGTCAAATCAACCCCTCTTCATGACTATATAATAAGTAAGATTATTTATCTTAAAATGGTTTTAAATGTAACATTCTCATTTTTTGCCCTTGAATTCTGTTTAGAGGATCAATGAGAAGACAATGTAATTACTTCTCTCATGACTACTAAACTGTCATTTATTATATTTCTACAATAATAATTCCATTAGTATTAAAACTAAAATACTAGTATTTTAAAGAAAATACATCATATAAGGTAAAGAATAAATGTTTTGGAAGTCTACTTAAAAATTTGAGAATAACTGTATTACAAGTAATCAATAATCAATGTTAGTCTTCCTCATCTGTTAAATTCAGCTGTATCAAATAAAAACTATACATAATGAAGATTTGAGTAAGCTAGCCATAAATCATCTTTACTACCACACAGTGTTACTCCATTCAGGAATAGCACAGTAAGGGAGAATGGTTTTAATTTGTATGCTACTTTATCCAAGTAGGAAACAAGTGCCAAAAGGTGGTTCTAAGAAAACTTTTCCTCATCTGAGAACGAGGAGGTCATATTAGATGATCTCTAAAATCTTTACAACACTAACATTCTGACCTGAAGTAAGATACTACACTCGAAAGCAATACGTTTGTTTGTTCTAATCATCTGCTATCTTATTTAAATAAACTAGCCAACTTAAAAACTGTCACCTAAGTCATTTGTCTTTCTCTAAAAGAAATGGACTATAAAAAACATAAAAATGTGGCCCAGAGGAATTTAAGAAATTCACTGTTAATGCAAGCAAAACATAATTTGTATTTGTTTCTATTATAAGCTGCCCAAATTCTGTATTATTCATTATACTAATATTTTATTCTATCTTCTTGTTTTCTATTTTTAAAAAGGCTAATAAAGTCATAAAAGGTCAATATTGATAGGAACCTCAAAGAACTCCTGGTCTCAGCCCCTACTTCTATAGACGAAAAATGAAATTCAGAGAGAAGTAGGGACTATCCCAAAGTGCACTCAGACTGAGAACGGCAAAGCAAGGGATAAAATTCAAGTCTCCTGAATCTCTGTCCAAGGTTCTTTTCATGTTATCATACTCATAGAGAGAGAACATGAAGCAGCATGAATGATAATTTTAGATATATTTCACAGATGGTAACCTCAAACGGAAATCATTCAGTTACATAATCTACAATAGTAATATTATTTTACCCATTAGCGAAGTCAGTATAGCCCCAGTGCAAGAAGCAAGCATCTGCTGAAGAGGTGTCACTTTGGTAATCTGCGGCCCCTCTGATTCAGGATCCATATTTTTAACTGACTGAAGAAAAATCTGTTAAGGAAAAGATGTAAAATGAAAGTTTAATGAAAATGCCCTTAAGTTGGATTGCTATAAATTAAACTATAAAAACAACCAGTATTAGTATCGAAACACATGTTGTTGACCAGTATCAAAAATAAATACTTAAGTTCTATACAAAGGCAATACACAACTGTCATTAATAAAATATGTACTCTGATTTTCCAAAAACAACAATGCACTTCCGCTGTGTGAGCAGCAACAGATTTGTAAGACATGTAAGAGAGCAAAAAGAAAACAGACTCAGGCCATGTAAGAGAAGGCAGGCACCTGACCAGTCAGTCTCAGACCCGGGCCACGTAAGAGAAGGAAGGCACCTGACCAGTCTCAGACTCGGGCCACGTAAGAGAAGGAAGGCACCTGACCAGTCAGTCTCAGAATTTGTGCATTCAGCCAGAGAAGAACTACTCAGATATTTAGCAAATATATCACTATTTGTACTGCATACCAAAAGCTGCTACTAAGGTATAAAATAAAAACATATAATCTTCAAAAGAAGCATTATCTTAGAAAAATTTGATGAGAAAATATATACTCCTTTGTAAAAAGCCAGTTAGTATAGGGCGCCTGGGTGGCTCAGTTGGTTAAGTGACTGCCTTCGGCTCAGGTCATGATCCTGGAGTCCCGGGATCGAGTCCCGCATCGGGCTCCCTGCTCAGCAGGGAGTCTGCTTCTCCCTCTGACCCTCTTCCCTCTCGTGTTCTCTATCTCTCATTCTCTCTCTCTGTCACATAAATAAATAAAATCTTAAGAAAAAAAAGAAATGCATTTAAAAAAAAAAAAAGCCAGTTAGTATAACCACTAGCAACATAAGGCTGTCATCTTTTCAAATGTCTATGTCCACACAAATACATATATATGTGTGTCCATATGTATATAATATATACAGACACACATGTACATGCAAATTACATAACTGATCAAATATGTACAAACATTCACAGATCTGTGTACATGCATCTTTTTTAAAAATCTTGTTTAAAAAACTTAAATAGGTTCTGATGCCTCAGTGGCTCAGTTAAGCATCTGACTCTTGGTTTTGGCTCAAGTCATGATCCCAGGGGTCATGAGAAGAAGCACCATGTCCAGCTCCATGCTCAGTGCAGAGTCAGCTTGAGATTTTCTGCCTTTCCCTCTCCCTTTGCCCCTCCCCCTACTTTCGTGAGCAAGTGCTCTCGCTCTCAAATAAACAAAATCTTTAAAAAAATAAACATTCCTATTGTTTAGTGGCCAGAGTGGACACTTAAAAATATTTTGCAGACACTGCATCAGTAAATATAGATGTACATTATCATTTTTAATAGTTTTTGATTATATTTAATCAGTCTCATATTGTTAGATTTATGTTACTGTCAAATCTTCCTTATTCATTTGTTCATATACTCTTATATAAGTATCTCCATATACACAACCTTTTATAGTCTTCCTAGAATTACTATAGAAGAAAAAGTAAGATTGTGAGGCTCAACTAAAAACTTGAGACAAATTGCCAAAATGCTTTCCAGAAAGGATGGACCAATTTACACTTCCATTGGAAATAAATGAGTTCCTATTAATCCAGAATTTCACCAAACTCTCATTACATACCACTTATTTTTTTATGAACAGTTTGAAAGTAGTTTGCATATAACACGCCGTTATTCTAATTACCTCAGAATATTCTTGTACTTCACAGTAACATTATCAAATTGAGGAAACTCAGTACTCTATAGTTTATATTCCAATTTTATCAATTATCCCAATAATGAATTTTATAAAAATGAATGGTAGTTTTATTGTTTCTTTAGACTTTTATTATTACTCACCTGGTTTAAGTCTTTTCCTCAACTCTATGCTCCAGTATCTGATTGTTTGTAACATCAGTAGCTGAAAATCTACAGTGAAAAATGAAAGTAATTGTCTTATCTTTTCACACAAGAAATGGAGAACCTAAAGGAAAGGAGCATGTAAAAAAACCTTGGGTGCCTGGGTGGCTCAGTCGTTGGGCGTCTAACTTCGGCTCAGGTCATGATCCCAGGGTCCTGGGATCAAGCCCCGCATCGGGCTCCCTGCTCCGCAGGAAGCCTGCTTCTCCCTCTCCCACTCCCCTTGCTTGGATTTCCTCTCCTGCTGTCTCTCTCTCTGTCAAATAAATAAATAAAATATTTAAAAATAAATAAATAAAAAATAAAAAAAAACTTAAAAGACAAATCAAATATTTACTGAAACACCTCCTATTAAGTGCTTTAGGAATATGAAGAGCATTCCACAAATGCTCACATTACATTTATTAAACTTCATTTATAAAACTTCGTTTCGTATAATAAACTTCAGGGCACCTGGGTGGCTCAGTCAGTTAAGCTTCTGCCTTTGGCTCGTGATCCCAGGGTCCTGGGATCAAACCCCACGTCTGACTCCTTCCCCAGAGGAGAGTCTGCTTCTCCCTCTCCTTCTGCCTCTCCCCCTGCTCGTGCTTGCTCTCTCTCTCTCTCTCAAATAAACAGAATCTTAAAAAAAAAATAGTATAATAAACTTCATTTATTAAACTTCATTTATAAAACCTCACTCTGTCCCGGTAAATTTATTCTGCTTAAAAAACAAACAGTTCTCAAGGCACCTGGGTGGCTCAGTTACGTGTCTGACTCTTAGCTCAGGTCTTGATCTCAGGGTCATGAGTTTAAGCCTGGTGTTGGGCTCCACACTGGGCATGGAGCCTACTTAAAAAAACAAAACAAAACAAAAAACAAAACAAAAAATTCTAGAAGCTGAACACTCTGATCAATCTTGGTATCATGAGTCAATCAGATTTTGAGACACAAAATTAAGTAACTGTATTATCTATTAAGTATTTTTTTGGGGGAGGAACCTTTAATTTTAATCTAAACAGTCCATTAGATCTAAGTTCCAATTTATAGAAAATTAAGAGACTAAAGTAACAGGGTAAAGGATACCACAAAACAGGATAAGTTGTAATACCATATAAGACTACTGTCCTGGTTCTTCAACAACTACCATTAAGGTGGGAAAAGGTAGCAGGAAGGGAGAACTGTTCTAGAAGAAGGGAATCTTTTGAGAGTTACCAACCAAATACATCCTGGTTCAAATAAATAAAATTTTAAAAGTCAGTTTGAGAGTACATAAATCTGAACATGGGCTGGATATTAGATAATATTAAAAATTATTTTTTGGAGAGAGAATGGTAGTACTACAATAACAGTTTAATACCAGTTATAATAAAAGTGTCTTTTTTAAAGAGATTCATACTGTAAATATTAAGGGCTAAATTTTATAATAGTTGTAGTTCACAATGCTTCAGAAAAAACAAATATTCTAATGTTAACAATCTGCTAAATCTAGGTGGTAAGTATACCATAAATATTTTTACTGTTCTATTATTTTTCTGTATTTGGAAAAATGTGAACAACAGGATTTTCAGTTTGTGAAACAGTAGAATCTTTAGGTCTAAGAAAATACTTCTAACATTCGTTTATATGAACATGCTTAAGTGGGAAAATAATGTACATATGGTAGAATATGGGTACACTCCTCCTCCAGAAGTAAAAAGTAAAAAGGCCTACAATGCTTTATTTTGACATCTATTCGAGCAAAGTTGTCACCTGGATTATGCTCAAACCTGAAACTAAAGCCAGAAAAACTGATACAAAAGCAAAAATGAACTCTTGGGACTTCAAGATAAAAACCTGAACAGTGAAGGAACAGTCAACAAAACTAAAAGGCAGCCTGTGGAATGGAAGAAGATATTTGCAAATGACATATGTGAAAAAGGGTTAGTATCCAAAATCTATAAAGAACTTATGAAACTCAACACCCCCCAAAACCCAAATAATCCAGTTAAGATATGGGCAGAAGACACGAACAGATACTTGCCCAGAGTAGACATCCAGATGGCCAACAGACACATGAAAAGATGCACAACATCACTCATCATCAGGGAAATACAAATCAAAATCACAATAAGACACCACCTCACACCTGTCAGAATGGCTAAAACTAATAACACAGGAAACAACAGGTGTTAGCATGTATGTGGAGAAAGGGGAACTTTCTTACACTGTTGGTGGGAATGCAAGCTGGTGCAGCCACTCTGGAAAACAATACGGAGGTTCCTCAAAAAGTTAAAAACAGAACTACCCTATGATCTAGGAATTGCACTAATAGGTATTTACCCAAAGGATACAAAAATACTGATTTGAAGGGGCACATGCACCCTCATATTTATAGCAGCATTATCAACAATAGCCAAATAATGGAAAGGGCCCAAATGTCCACTGACTGATGAATGGATAAAGGAGATGTGGGGGATACATATATACACACACACATATATACACACACACACATACACGCCCAGACACCATAGAATATCACTCAGCCATCAAAAAAATGAAATCTTGCCATTTGCAATGATGTGGATGAAACTAGAGTGTATTATGCTAAGCAATATAAATCAGAGAAAGACAAATACCATGTGATGTCACTCATGTGAAATTTAAGAAACAAAACAGATGAACATAAGAAAAGGAAAAAAAAAAGAGAGGGAAGTAAACCATAAGAGACTCTTAACTATAGAGAACAAACTGAGGGTTGATGGAGGGGAAATGGGCTGGCAATGGGCTAAATGGATGATGGGCATTAAGGAGGGCATTTGTGTTGAGAACTGGGTGTTATATGTAAGTGATGAATCACTAAATTCTACTCCTGAAACCAGTATTACACTATGTTAACTAACTAGAATTTAAATAAAAATTGAAAAACAAAAAAGGATTAGGGGAATATCCAAGTCAGAAGATAGTAAATCACACAAACTTCGTATCATCAGAATTTTTATTTTTTCAAATTTATGTTAAATGCAATCTCATAGTCTTGATTTACCTTCCCCTGCTCAGTAAATGATGCTGAACATCTCTTCACTTGGCAACCACCATTCTACCTTCTCAAGAATTTTACTACTTTAGATACTTATGTAAGTGGAAATGTGCAGTATTTTTGTTTCTGTGACTGACTTATTTTACCCAGCATAATACTCTAAAATTTCAAATACGTATCATATGACAGGATTTCCTTCATTTAAAAGGCTAAATAGGGGCATCTGGGTGGCTCAGTGGGTTACACATCTGACTCTTGGTTTCAGCTCAGGTCACAATCCCAGGGTCATGGAATCAAGCCCCGCACTGGGCTCCATGCTCAGTGTGGAGTCTACTTGAGATTCTCTCTCCCTCTGCCCCTCCCCCTGCTCATGCATCCCTCTCTCTCTCTAAAATAAATAAAAACTTTTTTGAAAAGGCTAGGGGTGCTCAGGTGGTTTAGCCGGTTAAGCATCTGCTTCTGGCTCCCCTCATGAGCTCAGGGTCCTAGGATAGAGCCCTGCATCTGGCTTCCTGCTCCACAGGGAGTCTGCTTCTCCCTTCCTCTTTGCTCCTCCCCCTGGCTTGTGTGCACGTGCTCTCTCTCAAATGAATAAAATCTTTTTTCTTTAAGATTTTATTTGTTTATTTGACAGAGACAGAGAGAGAGGGAACACAAGCAGAGGGAGCTGAAGAGGGAGAAGCAGGTTCCCCACTGAGCAGGGAACCCAATGTGGGGTTAGATCCCACAACGCTGGGTTCATGACCTGAGCTGAAGGCAGACACTTAACGACTGAGCCACCCAGCACCCTCATATGAATAAAATATTTAAAAAAAAATTTTAAAGGCTAAATAATACTTTTATGTATATACATTTTCATTATTTCACCTACTGATGGGCAAAAAATTTAGACTGTTTCTATCCCTTAACTGTGTATAATTCAATGAACATGGGATTTCAAATATCTTGAGATTCTGATTTCAATAATTTTAGATAAATATCCAGAAGTGGGATTGTTACATCATATGGTTGCTCTATTTTAAATTTTTTGAGGAACCATTTTCCATAGCAGCTACACCATTTTACCAACAATGCACAGGGTTCTGACTTTCCACATCTCCATCAGCACTTGTTACTTTCTGCTTTTGTCTTTAATAATCGTCATCATAAAAAGTATGAAGTGACGTCCTGTGACTTTGATTTCATTTGCCTGGTAATTAGTGATGCTCAGTGTCTTCATATTTCTGTTGGTCATTTGTATGTTTTCTTTGGAAAAATGTCTATTAATGTCCTTTATCCATTTTTTATTCTAGTTATTTGTTTCTTACTGAGTTGTAGTTCATTCTATATTTTGGATACTAATCTCATATCAGATGTATGGTTTGTAAATATTTTCTCCCATTCCATAGACTGTCTTTTCACTCTTGATTTTGTCTGTAGCTGTATAGAAGCTTTTTAGTTTGATGCAGTCAAAATTGCCTTTTGCTTTTACTGTCAGCACTTGTGGTGTTATACACATGAAATCATTGCCAACATCAATGTTATGAAGTTTTTCCTTATTTTTTCATCTAGGAGTTCTATAATTTTAGGTCTTACAGTGAAGCCATTAATCCACTTGGAATTGATTTTTGTGTGTAGTGTGAGAGAAGGGTCAAAATTCTTACCGTTAACATAGGGAAGTTTATCTGTCTTTCCCTTTATAGACAACACCTTTCTGATTCTTCTTTAAGCAATCTTTCTTTACTCAAGAGTCCATAAGACACCTGCCTACATTCTCTCCCTATGTATTTTAAAGTTGTGCTGACAAGTTTTAAATCCTTAATTTATGCAGAATTTTTAAAATAGCATGTGAAATAGGGAACCAAGTTCATTTTTTCCCATGTGAAAACAAATACTTTCTCCAAGCTCCAATTTTTTAGAAAGATTTTATTTATTTATTTGGGGGGGGGTTGTCTGCTGCGGGAGGGGCAGAGGGAGAAGCTGACTCCCCTGCTGAGCAGGGAGCCCAATGTGGAACCTGATCCCAGGA